GTTATGTCTCAGGAACTGCTTCCACCTGCTCAGGACTGTCTAGGAGGTTCTGAATGCACAATGGATGCAACGTTGCTCTTTATGATGATATTTTTCTCCATTTAAAGAGAAATGACCAACCTGACATCTTCCTATGAAATAGATCAGATCCACCAAGTCCAAACATAGAGCATATTGCCCACCTTGGGTGATGAGCAATACCTGCACTCTGCCTTTTCGAGGACTCGCTTGCTTGCTTGCCGCCTGCTCTCCTGCCAAACTGTTCACTTGTTGGAGCCTGGTTACATACCCTCTATTTCTGGTCTTGTGACTCCCATCCTCTGATGTTGAAGTGGTGGGTCCAGTACCATCACATTGGGGCAGGAAAGGTCCTCAACCTTGGGTAAGCTCCAACCAGACCAAGAACTTACATACAGCTTTTCCTCATGGCTCTGGTGGGTTAATGGATTAGCGGTGGAGAGTGTGGAAGGCAAGTACCAGTAGCAGTTGGGGCATGCTATCAATTAGGTACTTCCTGTTGCCCTCAATGGGTGAAGTAAAAGTTTGCATTAATAGTTTAATTAAAAATGCAAGGTCTGCTTATGAGCTAGTTCTTCAAAAATGTGAATAAAAAAACCAATTTTAAAAAAAAAATACCATCCTGACATCCTCCTGTGGGCTTGCATGTTCTTGCAATATTTTGGCTCCTGTGCTTTCCTAGGACCCAGGAATCCTCATCACCCTCACCTTGGTGGACACACCAGAAGCCGAGGTGTAGAGTGAGTAATTTTGGTAAATACATTGACCTTACATAAAAATGCGAGGTTTGCTTTAGGTTCAATGTATAGTAATCTAATTGGCTGGGCCAAGTCAAGCAATATTTTACAGGATGCCACAATCTTAGATCGGCCTTGAGCAGACCAGTGGGAAGGTGGAACACATACATGATACGGTCTGCAGTAATACTGGGGAACTGGACTGTGCGGTGGAATATGGCGTCCTTGCTACAGCAATCGGAACAGAAATTTGGTGTCAATACATTGTCTACCCGTGAGTCACAAAATATGAAATCCATTTATTGATACTACCCATAATCCCCTCCGGGAGGAGGAGGAGCTAATCTGTATGTCCATTGCCTGCTCAAAGACCATTTTTAAACAGATTTCTGGAGCTCAGAGAAAAACACTTACTAGAGGCCTGGAAAAATGCTGGAGGCAGCAACAAGTGATGGACCATCAACAATTAAAACAAATCTGAAGCTCAAAAGAAAGTTTTTATAAATAGATAATAAAATTGTGATCTACTGTTGTAGCTTTTTAGTGGTTTCAGCATTTTTTCATAAGGTGGTTGGAAGGTAAATGGTGGAAAGTGACCATGTCCTGCCATCCCCAACAGCTTCACCAATGACCGCATCCTGCAGTCTACCAAACTTCACCAATGACCGCATCCTGCAGTCTACCAAACTTCACCAATGACCACATCCTGCCATCTCCACCATTGACCATTTATGGGAAAAATACAGAAGAGTGATGGCAGGAAAAGACCAAGTGCTCCATTGAGTCCGGCCCTTTTCTGATTTTTTTTTTTTACCTTTTTGTTAAAGTGTTACTAAACCCAGGACCTGGCATTCACTATATCCGCTCTCCCCGGACCCCGCGTCAGTTCACTAGATTCGCTCTCCCCGGAACCCGCGTTCACTAGATCCGCTACCTCGGACTCCGCGTTCACTAGATCCGCTCTCCCCAGAACCCCGCGTTCACTAGATCCGCTACCTCGGACCTCGCGTTCACCAGATCCGCTCTCCCCGGACTCCGCGTTCACCAGATCCGCTCTCCCCGGACCCCGCGTTCACCAGATCCGCTCTCCCCGGACCCCCCGCGTTCACCAGATCCGCTCTCCCCGGACCCCGCGTTCACCAGATCCGCTCTCCCCGGACCCCGCGTTCACCAGATCCGCTCTCCCCGGACCCGGCGTTCACCAGATCCGCTCTCCCCGGACCCGGCGTTCACCAGATCCGCTCTCCCCGGACCCCGCGTTCACCCTATCCGCTCTCCCCGCACCCGGCGTTCACCAGATCCGCTCTCCCCGGACCCGGCGTTCACCCTATCCGCTCTCCCCGGACCCGGCGTTCACCCTATCCGCTCTCCCCGGACCCGGCGTTCACCCTATCCGCTCTCCCCGGACCCGGCGTTCACCCTATCCGCTCTCCCCGGACCCCGCTTCACCCTATCCGCTCTCCCCGGACCCGGCGTTCACCCTATCCGCTCTCCCCGGACCCGGCGTTCACCCTATCCGCTCTCCCCGGACCCGGCGTTCAGCCTATCCGCTCTCCCCGGACCCGGCGTTCACCCTATCCGCTCTCTCCCCGGACCCGGCGTTCACCCTATCCGCTCTCCCCGGACCCGGCGTTCAGCGTATCCGCTCTCCCCGGACCCGGCGTTCACCCTATCCGCTCTCCCCGGACCCGGCGTTCACGCTATCCGCTCTCCCCGGACCCGGCGTTCACCCTATCCGCTCTCCCCGGACCCGGCGTTCACCAGATCCACTCTCCCCGGACCTTACGTTCACCCTATCCGCTCTCCCCGGACCCCGCGTTCACCCTATCCGCTCTCCCCGGACCCCGCGTTCACCCTATCCGCTCTCCCCGGACCCCGCGTTCACCAGATCCGCTCTCTCCCCGGACCCCGCGTTCACCAGATCCGCTCTCCCCGGACCCCGCGTTCACCAGATCCGCTCTCCCCCGGACCCCGCGTTCACCAGATCCGCTCTCCCCGGACCCCGCGTTCACCATATTCGCTCTCCCCGGACCCCGCATTCACCATATCCGCTCTCCCCGGACCCCGCATTAACCATATCCGCTCTCCCCGGACCCCGCATTTACTATATCTGGTGTCCCACAGTACACAGAACATGGAAATGCAATTATTTTAGTAAATATAAACTGCTAAATCCCTTTTCTCATCAGCAGTATATAGCACTCTTGTGACTTCTATCAGTGTCTAGCCCACCACTAACTAAAGCTTCTGGAAGGAATTTTCTTTCTGCTCTAGAAGGATGCAGAACCCCTGAACTCTGTCTAGACAGTGCTGATTGGCCCTGTGCTAATCACATGCACTCTCCCAAGAAAAAAAAAAAATCTCTTTAGCAATACACACCAAACTGAGCATGTGCAGAAGGAATACGGGTTCAGTCTGTATCAGGTGGTCATTTCAACAAGAAGAGGGGCAGAGAAGACAGGATCAAACAGCCTTTTTACACACAAAGCAGAGGATTAACCCCTTAGGTTCCACAGTGAGTATAACAAGCATGCTTTACTGCATCTACAGACTGATTGTACTGTTGTGGGTTTAGGAACACTTTAAGTTTATCCTGACCAAGTTAAAATTCACTTACGTTTGGTTGACTTACTAGTTCAACAGTGAGCGAATTTAAACAGGCATGGGATAAATGTTTTGCTGGAGAAATGCATTACTTCCGTGGACAACCCTCCAAATTACATATTTCTTGTCCCGGTGACACCCTATGTTCCTCTCCATAGGAATAGGGGGATATGAGGTATGCAGCCCTACAGACTAGACATTTCCTGTCCCATTGGCATACTGCTTCCTCCCACCATTGGAATAGGAGGATATGATGTACATGGCCATCTCTCAAAATTGCACATTTCCTTCTCCACTGACACCCAGTATTCCTCTCCAAAGGAACAGGAGGATATGACGTACATGGACACCCTACAAAAGAAACAGGTTCTGTCCCGGTGACACCCTATGTTCTTCTCCATAGGAATAGTGGGATATGAGGTATGCAGCCCTACAGACTAGACATCGCCTGTCCCATTGGCATACTGCTTCCTCCCACCATTGGAATATGAGGATATGACATACATGGTCACCCTCGAAATGTAACATGTTCTGTCCTGGTGACACCCTATGTTCTTCTCCATAGAAATAGGAGGGTATTGGGTATGCAGGCCTACAGACTAGACATTTCCTGTCCCATTGGCATACTGCTTCCTCCCACCATTGGAATAGGAGGTTATGATGTATGTGGCCACCCTCAAAATTGCACATTTCCTTCCCCACTGACACCCTGTATTCCATTCCATAGGAACAGGAGGATATGACGTACATGGATACCCTGCAAATAAAACATGTTCTGTCCTGGTGACACCCTATGTTCTTCTCCATAGAAATATGAGGATATGAGGTATGCAGCCCTACAGACTAGACATTTCCAGTCCCATTGGCATACTTCTTCCTCCCACCATTGGAATATGAGGATATGACATACATGGCCATCCCTCAAAATTGCACATTTCCTTCCCCACTGACACCCTGTATTCCACTCCATAGGAGTACATGACGTACATGGTCACCCATGACATGAAACATGTTCTGTCCTGGTGAAACCCTGTGTTCCTCTGCACAGGAATAGGAATATATGAGGTATACGGACCAACAGACTAAACATTTCCTTTCCCACTGACACCCTGTATTCCATTCCATAGGAATAGGAGGATATGACTATGTATGTGACTGGACTCCCCTCCAATTTACACATTTCCTGTCCTGGTGACACCCTATGTGACGTATGTGGACTCCCCTCCAATTTACACTTCCTGTCCTGGTGATACCCTATGTTCTTCTCCATAGGAATAGGAGGATATGACGTATGTGGACTCCCCTCCAATTTACACATTTCCTGTCCTGGTGACACCCTATGTTCTTCTCCATAGGAATAGGGGGATATGAGGTATGCAGCCCTACAGACTAGACATCGCCTGTCCCAGGAACAGGAATATATATGTGGCCACCCTTCTGAATTACACACTTCCTGTCCCGATGATGCCCTGGCAGAAGGGAGAGAGACAGAGGATTAGAAGGAACTTAGAGACATTAAAGCCTCTAAGCTGCTCTAGGCAATGCAGGCAGATCACGGTTGGTGGCAGGGACTGTACACAGTTTCCTAAAAACATCACATCTCCCTCCCTCAGGTGGGGTTATGCAAATATCAAAATACAATGGCTGGCAGTCTGGAGGAGTGGGCCGTTCTAGGCGGGCTGTATTTGCATATGCCCATATGCGGTGTTGAGCCTGTATTATTGAATTAACTGAAATCCAATGAATGAAAGGGGCGGGGCAAGGCACAGTAAGGCTGGGGAGGATGGTGCTAGATGAAGCCGGACGTCCTCCAGCTAGGAAATGAGGCAGAGCTCTATTTAACTTGCCACAGCTTCTAATGCACACTGTGAGAAGCTCACGGTGTGCGGTGAATTTAGACAAAGTAATTTCAGTCCAGGGGAGGAGCCGTACACCAATGCAAGACTGAAGGGGAGGAGCCGGTACACTTGTGCAAGACTGAAGGGGAGGAGCCGGTACACCTGTGCAAGACTGAAGGGGAGAAGCCGGTACACATGTGCAAGACTGAAGGGGAGGAGCCGGTACACATGTGCAAGACTGAAGGGGAGGAGACGGTACGCCTGTGCAAGACTGAAGGGGAGGAGGCGGTACGCCTGTGCAAGACTGGAGGGGAGGAGCCGGTACGCCTGTGCAAAACTGGAGGGGAGGAGCCGGTACGCCTGTGCAAAACTGAAGGGGAGGAGCCGGTACGCCTGTGCAAGACTGAAGGGGAGGAGCCGGTACGCCTGTGCAAGACTGAAGGAGAGGAGCCGGTACACCTGTGCAAGACTGAAGGGGAGGAGGCGGTACGCCTGTGCAAGACTGAAGGGGAGGAGCCGGTGTGCCTGTGCAAGACTGAAGGGGAGGAGCCGGTACGCCTGTGCAAGACTGAAGGGGAGGAGCCGGTACGCCTGTGCAAGACTGAAGGGGAGGAGCCGGTACGCCTGTGCAAGACTGAAGGGGAGGAGCCGGTACGCCTGTGCAAGACTGAAGGGGAGGAGCCGGTACGCCTGTGCAAGACTGAAGGGGAGGAGCCGGTACGCCTGTGCAAGACTGAAGGGGAGGAGGCGGTACGCCTGTGCAAGACTGAAGGGGAGGAGCCGGTACGCCTGTGCAAAACTGAAGGGGAGGAGCCGGTACACCTGTGCAAGACTGAAGGGGAGGAGCCGGTACACCTGTGCAAGACTGAAGGGGAGGAGCAGGTACGCCTGTGCAAGACTGAAGGGGAGGAGCAGGTACGCCTGTGCAAGACTGAAGGGGAGAGCCGGTACGCCTGTGCAAGACTGAAGGGGAGGAGGCGGTACGCCTCTGCAAGACTAAAGGGGAGGAGCCGGTACACCTGTGCAAGACTGAAGGGGTAGGGCCTGTACACCTGTGCAAGACTGAAGGAGAGGAGCCGGTACACCTGTGCAAGACTGAAGGGGTAGGGCCTGTACACCTGTGCAAGACTGGAGAGGAGGAGCTGGTACACCTGTGCAATACTGAAGGGGAGGAGCCGGTACACCTGTGCAAGACTGACAAACCCCAGCCTTATGTATGAACCAAAAAAACAAATCAGTAGTAGAGATGTAGATCTGCCACCCAGCGGAGGTGATAATGGAAACATAATCAGTGGGCTGTGGATGGGCTCTGCGCTGGATATAATAATTACGCTTTAAAGCAAGAGGCAAGAGCCTGGAGGAAGGCGGACCCTATCTACTCTCTCTGCTCCCAGCATGCAGAGTACACGCAGAGTTCAGCCTGCGGGAGAAAAAATATACGCAACGGAAAGAAGCAATAATTTAGAGCCTTAAGGAGGAACTCCGGGTGAACTCCAGTAGAAAATATGGTCTCACACTTTAGAGTAAAGCCGCTGTAGGTGGGGAACAGAAACTCATCCTGGACTGGAGTTCCCCTTTAATGGTTCGTATGGTTTATATTTGTGCTTGCGGTAAATGTAACTCAATCCCCTGTACCCTCGTCTATTTCTACTGGACTGAACCAACATGGCATCAATTGGTCCTCAGGAGAGCGGCATTGACCATTCTCCACCACCACCAGGAGGCATCACAGCTTGTTTTATCGCATTTTCAAGCCTAAAAGCCTTCAGTGAAACCTCAGGCACCATCCCAACTGAACAACAACACCACCACACGATCGGAGTTTTCTATTGGATGGCAACAGCGTGACGCCAATGCCAGAGGATCACATGGGGAGAGTTCATCATCCAGATAAAGTGCAGTTCTATGTAACAACTCTGTTCCTCCGATACAGCAAATCGCCCGTCACACCGATAAGTGCCTCATGAATAATTAAATATATCTTTACTCTACACTCTGTGCATATACATCCAGCTAAGGGATTCTTGCGCGGCAAATCTTCACCGCCATTACTGAGAAAGGACGACGCAATCCGATACCACAGGTAGGTAGTGGAGCCCTTGAAACTGACAACAATATTTCACCGAATAAAGTGGAAAGTCTATTGCGGCAGTACAAACGTGACTATGTGCACGTGAGGCACCGCTTACCAATGAATTCTTTGTATTGTATGTCTCACATACATGGATCTGTAGCCCCCAGACATGCTGCGGATGACGTATTGCGGCGGTTTTATTGTCCATCGCGCAAGGCGATCGTTCAAGAGAGATTATATTGCTGTCATCAGTCTTGCGTCTGTAGCCCAAGGCCATGAGGAGAAATCGTTGTATATACGTCTCTAAGGGAGACCTCAGACAAGACTTCTCTTGTCATTGGTCATTTCTGTAGATAGTTCAGTGGAGTCTCTTGGGTTCAGCAAATAGTTCATGGGAATTGAGAAGAAGGGAGCAAGGATTCCGATTATCGGGTGCTCAGTTCCTCTTGTTCATCAGCTGTCGGTCTCTCCTCTTCTTTTCCATGAGTCTGATGGACAGAAAGATAAACAGAAATAATCAGTGACAGATCACAAACCCACATCCAGTTTTACCATGATAGAGTATCTGACTTATATACACTATAAAGGATTCAGATACCCTCTACGGTCAAAGGTTGGTGGATACCTGACCATCACACCCATAGAAGCTTGTTGGACATCCCATTCCATGACCATGGGCATTACTAAGGAGTTGTCTACCTCCCCCTGCCCTTCATAGCTTGTCAGACATCTCATTTCACGGCCATGGCCATTAATATGGAGTTGACAATACCTGGCCATTACTATGGAGTTGTCTAATCCCTTGCCCTTTCATGGCTTGTTGGAAATTCCATTTCAGAACAATGCCCATTAATATGGAGTTGGCACCTCATGGCCATTACTATAGGAAATGTCCACCTCCCCTGCCCCTCCATGGCTTGTTGGACATCCAAATCCAAGACCATGACCATGACCATAAAAAAAAGAAAGTTGGCACCCCATAGCCATTAATGTGGAGTTGTATATCATCCCCCGCTCTTCATGGCTTGTTGGACATCCCATTTCAAGACTATGGCCATTCATATGGAGTTGGCACCTCATGGCCATTACTATAGAGTTGTTTACACCCTCTGCCCTTTCGTGGCTTGTTGAACATCTTGTTCCAAGACCATGGCCATTAATTTGGAGTTGGCAGCTCATGGCCATTACTATAGGGTTGTCCACCTCCCCTGCCCCTCCATGGCTTATTGGACATCTAATTCCAAGACCATGACCATTAGAAAAAAGGAAGCTGGCATCCCATGGCCATTGATATGGAGTTGTTTATCATCCCCCACCCTTCATGGCTTGTTGGACATCCCATTTCAAGACTATGGCCATTCATACAGAGTTGGCACCCAATGGCCATTACTATAGATTTGTCTACACCCTCTACCCTTCCATGGCTTGTTGAACATCTTGTTCCAAAACCATGGCCATTAATATGGAATTGGCACCACATGGTCATTACTATAGAGTTGTCTACCTCTGCCCCTTCCTGGCTTGTTGGACATTCCATTCCAAGACCATGACCATCATTATGGATTTGGCACACCATGGCCAATACTTCTTGCCACCCCTCCATGGCTGTTACTATGGAGTTGGCCTTGCTTTGTGGCTACATTATCCTCCACTCTTCTGGGAAGGCTTTCCACAAGATTTTGCCTGTGGGAATTTGTGCCCATTTGTAAAGTCAGGTACATATGTTGGATGAGAAAACCTGGCTCACAAGCGGTGTTCCAATTTATCCCAAAAGGTGCTCAGGAGGGGTCAGGGTTCTGTGCAGGACACTCAAGTTCCTCCACACCAAGCTGGAAAAAAAACATGTCTTTATGGAGCTGACTTTGTACACAGGGGCACAGTCATGCTGGAACAGAAAAGGGTCTTTTTCAGTCTGTACCCTATACGAGCTTGCTGGACATCCCATGCTAAAACCATGACCAATAATATAGAGTTGGCCTCCTTGGTGACTATAACATTCTCCACTCTGGGAAAGCTTCCATATGATGTTGGATTGTACCTGTATGAACTTGTGTCCATTTGTGAGGTCAGGTACTGATGTTGGATGAGAAGACCTGGTTCACCATTGGTGTTGTATTTCATCCCAAAGGTGTTCAGTAGAGTTGAGGTCCGGGCTTTGTACAGGACACTCAAGCTCTTCCACACCAAACTGGTCAAAACATGTCTTTATGGAGCTGGCTTTGCACACAGGGAACAGTCATGCTGGAACAGAGAAGGGTGCTCACCAAACTGTTACCACAAGTTTGGAGGAGCACAGTTGTCTAAAATGTCTTTGTATGATGTAGTGTATGACGTAGCATATGATGTTGTATGTAGATCCTTCACTGGAGACTTCTGAACTCCATCATTTGAAGGACCACATAGTTTTGGCCATACAGTGTAGAATGGAAAGAATAGGAACCAGCCTTAGGACCACCACTACTAAGTCGGTTTAGAATAGGTTCTAAGATCCTGTACAACTGTGCAAGATGAGGGCAAGGCTAGAATCCAGATTTAAACTCACTTTCTGTTGCGCACTTCGGTAAGCTCAAGTAATCTCTCCTGGGCCGCTCGGAGCTCATCCAGCCGCTGCTGGTAACGGGAGTCGCAGTTATTGGCACGCTCATAGCTGGACACCTGACTGGAAAGTTCGGTGGCTCGGTCACGCAGCTGCTGGATGGACGTGTATAGATTCTCGTCATCTTCCTCCTGTGTATGGAAGACAGCAGGCCATCATAAGCAGACATCAGTGGAAGGAAGATGCAGAATAAAAGATGTAAAGCCAAAACCTTTCCTTTTAGTTTTGGATGGGGCGGAGAAGGTGGAAACCCCTGCCAGGTTTTTGTTGTCATCTGTGCCCCCAGTAGGGAGACCCACACCTCTAATTGTCCTGGAGTCACTGGCACAAAAAAGTGTAAAAACTTTACAATGGTCAGAGGAAAAGGAAGTAAGGTGAAATCTTTTCTGGTGACAAGAAGGAATTTTCCCTCACTTCCTGTTTTGCCTCCTGGGATTGTCTACTTGGGTCATTTTGTAGTGGTTAATAACTCAAGAACTCCAGACAACAAGAGCAAGGAAAGTCTAGAACCTCAGACAACAAGAGCAAGGAAAGTCTAGAACTTCAGACAACAAAAGCAAGGAAAGTCTAGAACTTCAAACAACAAAAGCAAGGAAAGTCTAGAACTTCACAACAAAAGCAAGGAAAGTCTAGAACCTCAGACAACAAAGCAAGGAAAATCTAGAACTTCAGACAACAACAGCAAGGAAAGTGACAAAGCCTCATTTCTTATCCTGGTGTCACAGGGACAGGAAGTGAGGTAAAATCTCCCCAATGGGGGAGGGGGGCACAGACAGAAAGACAAAACTACAGACAAAAATAGCCAGTATGCCATGAGTTAAAGACCTTATGTGTGTGGACATTGGTTCCTTGGGATAGTAAAGTCAATGGCTGGGAATGTTGTGTGGAGGCCTACAGTATGGAGGTAGGCTCAATATGGCAGAGGGTTCAGCCCCAGTAGGAGGGGCAGTAGTCTAGCAGGACGGGACTTGGTGCTCTTGGTGCCACAGGGACTTGTGCTCTTGGTGCCATGACTAGCCAATCACAAAGCCCCTCTTACACGCTTTAAGGAAAAGCCCCTATGTGTTCACCCAGTGCGAGGTGATCGAGACCGGCCTGGAAGATTGCAGATACGGCACCTTAGCGTTGACGATCTCAGTGTGCACCAGCAGCGCCGCCAGCTCCAGCTCCTCGCTGTAACTATTCCGCAGGGGGACCGAACGATAGCCTAGACATAGAAAATTACGGGTCAGCAAAATCCTCTCTAGACAATAACCTGCACAATGGAAAAAAAAACGGGCTCTGGGGATTAAAGAAGGACTCCACCCAAACATAGATCTGAAATATATACACTGTATGTGGGTTGTTTTTTTTTTTTTTTCTGCAAGCACTTCTGACTCTTCTCTCAGCAGCTCCCAGTGAATGAAATACAGTAATACCTCGGTTTAAGAACGCCTCGTTTAATTTTCGGTTTACAAATGAAAATCCACTGAAAATAATGCCTCGGTTTACAAATTTTGTATGAATTTTTTTCGCAACATGAAGTGTATGTCAGTGCTGATTTTTAAATGCAATTGCTGGCTCTTTTTTTTTTTTCACTATAGCTCACAGAATTAGCTGTCACTTTCCCCAAAGTTAACGGAAATGTTGTTTCTTTTAAGAAACTAAAAAGAAACATTGTTTGCCCCCCCCCCCCCTTTCCTGACCTGCCAGGCTGCATGCTCTGAAAAGGGTCTAGTATGGATTTTGAGGAGGACCCCCACGCCATTTCGTTTTAAATTTTGGCGTGGGAGTTCCCCTCAAAATCCATACCAGACATGAAGGGCTTGGTATGGATGGGAACGGGGGACCCCGCACAGTTTTTTAAATTATTTTTTTAATTGCTGGCAATTCTTTTACATTCAGCTGTCAGTGGGGAACCCCACTGACAGCTGAAATATTAACACATGGTTGTCACTACTAAAATGCCGCATGACTTGATAAAATAACTCATGCTGTATTTATTAGTGTTTACTTTTTTCTGATCTCCGGAACGGATTAATTGGTTTTCAATGCATTCCTATGGGAAACGGTGTTTCGGTTTAAGAATTTTTCGCTATAAGAAAAGTCCTGCAGAATGAATTAAATTCTTAAAACGAGGTATTACTGTATGTTAGACTTTACAGCACTCAGATCTGGAATTGAAGTCTGCTGGCTCACAGCACCAGACTACTCTCAACCTGATTCCTACTATGCAGAGAATCATGGGAAGACAGTATAAATATAGATTTAAGGTATATGCTATATAAATGAATAGAGGAATGGAGATATAAAACAAGTTTAAAAATATAAAACCTTAAAAAAAACTAAAAGAAAAGATTTATGAGTAATTTTTTATTTTTTTACAAAGGATTACCAGAGCACTACGGGTTACACTAAGGGCATTGATCTGAGTTGATGATCAATATTCTCACTGCAGGGTGGGCCCAGACAATATTTGACTCTGATAAGTGAATCTAGAATTCATGAGTTAGACCAGGGGTGGGCAAACTTTTTGACTTGAGGGCCGCAATGGGTTCATATATTGGACCCGGGGGCCGGACCAAGAGTAGATGAATGATGTGTATGTGTCATCCATAGTAAGTATAGTAATATTCCCCCATAGTAAGCATAGTAATTCATCCCCCATATAGTAATACATCCCCCATATAGTAATTAATCCCCCATATAGTAAATCCCCCATATAGTAATTCATCCCCCATATAGTAATACATCCCCCATATAGTAATTACCATATTTTTCGCTCCATAAGACGCACCTGACCATAAGACACCCCTAGGTTTTAGAGGCAGAAAACAGGAAAAAAAAATTCTGAACTAATGGACTGCAGACACAGTACAGGAGATGACCAGAGACTGCGGACATAGTACAGGAGATGACCAGAGACTGCGGACATAGTACAGGAGATGACCAGAGACTGCGGACACAGTACAGGAGATGACCAGAGACTGCGGACATAGTACAGGAGATGACCAGAGACTGCGGACAGACAGGAGATGACCAGAGACTGCGGACATAGTACAGGAGATGACCAGAGACTGCAGACACAGTACAGGAGATGACCAGAGACTACGGACACAGTACAGGAGATGACCAGAGACTGCGGACACAGTACAGGAGATGACCAGAGACTACGGACACAGTACAGGAGATGACCAGAGACTGCGGACATAGTACAGGAGATGACCAGAGACTGCAGACACAGTACAGGAGATGACCAGAGACTGCAGATACAGTACAGGAGATGACCAGAGACTACGGACACAGTACAGGAGATGACAGAGACTACGGACACAGTACAGGAGATGACCAGAGACTGCGGACACAGTACAGGAGATGACCAGAGACTGCGGACACAGTACAGGAGATGACCAGAGACTGCGGACACAGTACAGGGATGATCAGAGACTGCGGACATAGTACAGGAGATGACCAGAGACTGCGGACACAGTTCAGGGATGACCAGAGACTGCGGACACAGTACAGGAGATGACCAGAGACTGCGGACACGGTACAGGGATGACCAGAGACTGCGGACACAGTACAGGGATGACCAGAGACTGCGGACAGCACAGGGATGACCGTAGACTGCGGACACAGACATAACAGGAGATGACCAGAGACTGCGGACACAGTACAGGAGATGACCAGAGACTGCGGACATAGTACAGGAGATGACCAGAGACTGCGGACACGGTACAGGAGATGACCAGAGACTGCGGACACAGTACAGGAGATGACCAGAGACTGCGGACACGGTACAGGAGATGACCAGAGACTGCGGACACAGTACAGGGATGACCAGAGACTGCGGACACAGTACAGGAGATGACCAGAGACTGCGGAGAGCACAGGGATGACCAGAGACTGCGGACACAGTACAGGGATGACCAGAGACTGCGGACAGCACAGGGATGACCAGAGACTGTGGATAGTACAGGAGATGACTGCTGACCTTTGGGGAGGGGGGGGAGCGGGTACCTGAATTTGACAGATACCCGCTCCCACTTCTGCGGAGTTGTTCTTTCATCTTACCTGTTCCTCTATCCAGCGGCGCGCTGTCTTCCCGGCTTCTGTAATGGCGCTCGGCATGACAGCCGGGTGCCCAGTGCGCATGAGCGAGAAGCACTTGCGCTTTGTGATTGGTCCGGCGGCTTCTGGGATCTGTCATGTGTCCCAGGTGCCGCCTTACCATTCACAAAAAGCACCGCTTCCTGGGCATGCGCACTTGGCACCCGGCTGTCATGCCCAGTGCCCACACTACAGAAGCCGGGAAGACCGCGCCGCTGGATAGAGGAACGGGTAAGATGAAAGAACAACTCCACGGAAGTGGGAGCGGGTATCTGTCAAATTCAGGTACCCGCTCCCCCCCCCTCCCCAAAGGTCAGCAGTCATCTCTATAAGGTCCCGCTGTAGAGCTGAGCGGCCGGCCCGGTATTCTGACACGGCGGCAGTGGAAATACAGGACCGGCCGCTGCATATTCGCTCCATAAGACGCACTGACATTTTCCCCCCTTTTTGGGGGGAAAAAAGTGCGTCTTATGGTGCGAAAAATACGGTAATCCCCCATATAGTAATTCATCCCCCATATAGTAATTTATCCCCCATAGTAATTCATCCCCCATATAATTCAATATAGTAATTCATCCCCCATAGTAATTCATCCCCCATATAGTAATTCATCCCCCATATAGTAATTCATCCCCCACATAGTAATTCATCCCCCACATAGTAATTCATCCCCCACATAGTAATTCATCCCCATATAGTAATTCATCCCCCATAGTAATTCATCCCCCACATAGTAATTCATCCCCCACATAGTAATTCATCCCCCACATAGTAATTCATCCCCCATAGTAATTCATCACCCATATAGTAATTCATCCCCCATAGTAATTCATCCCCCCTATAGTAATTCATCCCCCCTATAGTAATTCATCCCCCATATAGTAATTCATCCCCCATAGTAATTCATCCCCCATAGTAATTCATCCCCCATATAGTAATTCATCCCCCATAGTAATTCATCCCCATATAGTAATTCATCCCCCATATAGTAATTCATCCCCCTATAGTAATTCATCCCCCATATAGTAATTCATCCCCCATATAGTAATTCATCCCCCCATCCCCCATATAGTAATTCATCCCCCATATAGTAATTCATCCCCCATATAGTAATTCATCCCCCTATAGTAATTCATCCCCCATATAGTAATTCATCCCCCTATAGTAATTCATCCCCCATATAGTAATTCATCCCCCATATAGTAATTCATCCCCCATATAGTAATTCATCCCCCATAGTAATTCATCCCCCATATAGTAATTCATCCCCCATATAGTAATTCATCCCCATATAGTAATTCATCCCCATATTAAGTCCCCAAGTCCCCCCTGTGTCAATCCACTTACCTTTGCTCCGCGCGTTCCACTCGCCGTGTTCCCGCGCCACTCCGGTGTAGCATGAAAATCTGTCTCCTATGAGGATCTGTCCCCCTCGACGTATCTGCGCATGTGCCAGTTTCAGGCATTAGCAGCCGATCGGCGATCTCCGGCACATGCGCAGATACGTCGAGGGGGACAGATCCTCATAGGAGACAGATTTTCATGTTACACCGGTCTTCAGGGCGGACTGTGAGAAGAGCCCAGTGGGAGCCTAGCTCCGCGGGCCGGATTAAAAGGTCGTATTTGGCCCGCGGGCCGTAGTTTGCCCATTGCTGAGTTAGACTGTAATATTCAATTCCAGATAGAAGTTCATTCCAATGGCAAACCCAAATGCATTTCAGGGGTGAAGACACACCCTCCCCTTCATCAAGGCTAAAGAGCAACATGAAAAGTACATTAAATACATTCAGGTAGATTCAGGGGTGGACTGACCATTCAGAAACTTGGGCACTGCCCGAGGGCCCGGGGTCAGTAGGGGGCCCCTTGAGATGCCCCTGGTACCTTTCATAGGCTTTTTTGAGTGTGGGCAAGGACACAGGGGCCCCATGATCCCCTATTGCCCGGAGGCCCCATAAGTTGTCAGTCTGCCCCTGGGTAGATTATTCATTATAAAAAGGGAACATCAATAACTGGGGTGTCATAAAAATAAAAGGATATTCAATTCATAACAAAACTGGTGATACAAATGAAGAATTACAGTTTTATGTTAATTTTCTATCATCATCATCATTATTATTATGAATTTAATATCCTTTTATTTTTTATTTAATTTTGTTCTCTATGTCCAAACTGTGGCCATAGGGCCAGATGTGCTCTCTATGCCTTTATCCAGCTCTTAGGGTGCAATTCCTCCTACTTATGCTAGGCACTATTGCCCCCACTGACAACAACAATGAGACACCATTCCTCCCACTGACACCAACAATGAGACACCATTCCTCCCACTGACACCAATGATGGGGCACTATTCCTCCCACTGATACCAATGATGGGGCACTATTCCTCCCACTGACACCAATGATAGGGCACTATTCCTCCCACTGATACCAATGATGGGGCACTATTCCTCCCACTGACACCAATGATGGGGCATTATTGCCCCCACTGACACAACAATGAGACACCATTCCTCCCACTGACACCAACAATGAGACACCATTCCTCCCACTGACACCAATGATGGGGCACTATTCCTCCCACTGGCACCAATGATGGGGCATTATTCCTCTCACTGACACCAATGATGGGGCAATATTCCTCCCACTGATACCAATGATGGGGCATTATTCCTCTCACTGACACCAATGATGGGGCACTATTCCTCCCACTGACACCAATGATAGGGCACTATTCCTCCCACTGACACCAATGATAGGGCCTATTCCTCCCACTGACACCAACAATGAGACACCATTCCTCCCACTGACACCAACAATGAGACACCATTCCTCCCACTGACACCAATGATGGGGCACTATTCCTCCTACTGACACCAATGATGGGGCATTATTCCTCCCACTGACACCAATGATGGGGCATTATTCCTCCCACTGACACCAATGATGGGGCACTATTCCTCCCACTGACACCAATGATGGGGCACTATTCCTCCCACTGAAACCAATGATTAGGGCACTATTCCTCCCACTGACACCAATGATGGAGCACGATTATCCCTCTGACACCAGTGAATACTATTCCTATCACTGATGCTAATGATGAGCACTATTCCTCCCGCTGACACCAATGATGGAGCAATATTCCTCCCTCTGACACCAGTGAATACTATTCCTATCACTGATGCTAATGATGGGGCACTATTCCTCCCACTGACACCAATGATTGGTGCGTTATTCCTCCCACTGACACCAGTGATGGGGCACTACTATTCCTATCACTGACACCAATCATGGGGCACTATTCCTCCCACTGACCAATAATGATGGGGCACATATTCCTCCCACTGACACCAATGATGAGGCACTATTCCTCCCACTGACACCAATGATGGGGCACTATTCCTCCCACTGACACCAATGATGAGGCACTATTCCTCCCACTGACACCAATGATGGGGCACTATTCCTCCCACTGACACCAATGATGGGGCACTATTCCTCCCACTGACACCAATGATGGGGCACTATTAATCCCACTAACAATAATGATGGGACACTATTCCTCCCACTGACACCAATAATGAGGCACTATTGCTCCCGCTGACACCAACAATGGGGAACTATTAATCCCACTGACACCAAAAATGGGGGCATTCTAATGGAGAGTAAACTGGAAATTTGTTTGGAAAGTCTGGAGACCCGTGGTTTAGGAGAACAGCTCATTCACCTATCAGCAGCCCCTGAAGCTAAGCCAACTGTACGAACAGATCATGTTAAGGGAGTCAGCAGCTCAGCCAGTAAACTGACGTTCTCCATGATACAAGTCTGACGTTCAGTCTGGGTATGGCAGCCAGCATTGCTCACCTGTCTTTAGCGCCTTCACAGGAAAAGTAGCCTGAGCCAGGAAGTTGGGGTCGCTGAACATGTCCTCCTCGTACACCACGAATCTCAGGAAGGCAAACTCTGGATTATTGATGTCAAATACAAACTCTTTCATCATCCAAACCGGGTTCAAACCGTTATCAGCTGTACAGGGAAGAGAGGTACATGCTTCAATACTGGGGGGGGATGTAGTAGGCCTAAAGCTATGTACTAATTAAAATGTATGGAGACCCTAACAAAGAACTTCACTTTGACCCAATTAGAGCGCCGCCTCAGGCCCCATCCAATGTACTCCAGTGACTACACTTGGGTGCCGGTTGTCCATAAATTGATATTTTTTTGTGGACCTCCAGCCACCAATAAAGAACTTTTCCTATTTTCTGCTTTTTTTGATCTGTTAAATATCCTACTGGAAGCAATTTGTCACAGCTGTTCAATAAGTGCAAAAAAAATACATGTTGGATCCTTGCAGGAATCCAGTGAGCTCCTAACTTCCGGAAATCCCAAGCACTGTTATCAGCTTTGCTCAGTTCTCCTCTGTGAACCACAGAGGAGCACCAAAACGTTACAGAGGCGTGGCCTGGGAGGAGCCTAGGCAGAGGCTGCTGTCAGGAGTGCGGGCTGTCAGGAGTGCACAATCTTTACATTATATTTTGCACAGAAGGCTGGGATGGGCTCTACAAGTGTAGTCACTGGAGAACATTTTCACAGAGTAGAACTGGGCAAGGCTGCTAACACTGCTTGGGATTTAATAAGTGCAAAAAAATACCTGTTGGATCCTTCCAGAAATCCAGTGGGCTCCTAACTTCCTGAAATCCCAAACAGTGTTATCAGCTTTGCCGATTTCTCCTCTGTGAACCACAGAGGAGCACTGAAACATTACAGAGGCGTGGCCTGGGAGGAGCCTAGGTGGAGGCTGCTGTCAGGAGTGCGTGCTGTCAGGAGTGCACAATCTTTACATTATATTTTGCACAGAAGGCTGGGATGGGCTCTACAAGTGTAGTCGCTGGAGTACATAATACTGCTTGGGAATTCATAAGTGCAAAAAAATACCTGTTGGATCCTTCCAGATATCCAGTGAACTCCTAACTTCCTGAAATCCCAAGCAGTGGTATCAGGCTTTCCCCATTCTCCTCTGTGAAAATGTACTCCAGTGACTACACTTGTAGAGCCCATCCTAGCCGTCTGTGCAAAATATAATGTAAAAATTCTGCACTCATGACAGCAGCCTCTGCCTAGGCTCCTCCCAGGCCACGCCTCTGTAACGTTTCGGTGCTCCTCTGTGGTTCACAGAGGAGAACTGGGCAAAGCTGATAAACACTGCTTGGGATTTCCGGAAGTTAGGAGCTCACTGGATTTCTGGAAGGATCCAACAGGTATTTTTTTGCACTTATTGAACAGTTATAAGAAATTGCCTCCAGTGGTATATTTAACAGATAAAAAAGCACCAGATAGGAGAAGTTCTTTATTGGTGGCTGGAGGTCCACACAAAATATCAATTTATGGACAACCTGCTTGACGCTTCATGTTAGGAACAATACAGGCAGTTCTTATTTCAGACATTGCATGAAATCAAGTGCTAAGCAAAATAGTGAAGGGATGCCAGGCGGTGCGTACCGGACTCATTAACATCGTCTGAAGGCGGAACACCCAATCATGAGGACTCACCTACGACGTCGCTCTTGTTCTTGCTGTTGTCAAACTCCGAGCCGCAGACCTCCACCTCCACAAAGGGGCACACGATACTGCGACCGTTCTTTGGAAGGTGCCTGGCGCCCAGGATCTGGAAGGGAAAAATTCAAAACACACAAATTAAAGGGATATTGTCAGAACGGAAATATGGGGGCTGCCATTTTTAGACGTACAAGCTGCAGATCGGTCATCTTCAGCCTTGCTTCACTACCTGCTGAGGTAACTATCTAGAAAAGGAATACATATACAGTGAGGTCCGGCCTCCTGGCCTCCATGCTTCCATATTTATATCGTGACAGGTTATCTTTAATTGTACCCGTCAGTGGTGCTGGGGATTTTACTACAATCAGAAGCAATAAAAGGGCCTATCTAGGTTAGGAATATGTAAGCAAAATAGGGGTACATTTAATATCCAACTAAAGAGCGACAGAATAGGTCAACCCAACATCTCCAAGAGTAGTCTAAACTTTTCCCATGCTCCTATTTGCAGTGCCAGCATCTGCCTTGTGCGGAACTCAAACAGTTTGGTTTACACAAGCCCTAGAACTACCAGAGTTCCGTGGAACCCCAGAAAATGCTTAGAGTTCCTTAAGCTGTGTATGGTTCACCTTCACTATTCAAATTCTCCATAATTACACCGCCGCCCTACTATTGGATGACAGCCGGTTTCAGCGCCATTAAACTACTTTCCTAACATTTTATTCTGGGTATAGTTTAGGACAGTGGTCTTCAAACTGTGGCCCTGTCAGGGCTCTGTCCTCGGCAGAGGTGTTAGCAGACCTGGCACCCCTGCCAGTATCTCTCATGGCCGCAGAAGTTCACATAGGCTCAAATTTGGCTACAAACGGCCTTTAAAAGGAAGTCCTGCACTACTCTCAGGTGCTGGTTGATCTGTGGCTTCCCAGTACCTTGTTCCTATTTCCGGTGCTATTGTGATCTGTGATTTCCTGATACCGACTCGGCTTGCTTTTGGACCTGTCTTCTCTGCTTAACCCCTGATCTGACCTCAGCTTGGCTAACGGATATTCCCTCTTTGCTCCTCTGTGTATGACCTCGGCTATCCCATCTGACTACATCTGCTCTGATTCCCACCTGGTACCTGACCTTGGCTTTGAACCGGCTACCCAGTAATCCTCTGCTCCCTGGAAGGGCTTGCATACCACGCACAGGCGCCAACTGTCTGCAGACCTATCTACGTGCACCAGCTGTGCTCCTGGGTGGACCACCAAGAAGCACTCCTACAGGCAACCTGTGCCACTTTGGGCCTGACTCCCGCTGTCCCACTCTCAGGGGAGTCCGGAACTTAGCCGCAAGGGAAGCCCTCTCTCCATTGGCCTCTCACACCAGGTACGTGACAGGCCCTAGGGCCAGATGTGCCCTGTATGACTTTATCCAGCCCTAGGGGCTCCATTCCTCCCACAATGGAACCAGTTTATGAAGACCACTCTGAATATGTTCAGAAATAAGGCCCAGTTTTTGGGGCACTTGGCTTCATTCAACCGATAACACTGTTCAACAGGTAAAAAGTTTTGGGCATAAAATTAGCTAATCTTACATAATTTCGGGGTGCTGAAAACGAAAATGACCCTAAAAAATGTTGATTGGCTCTAGTTTCCATGATATATTCACCCATCTAATGACGTAAGCCATTCAAAATGATGATGCAACTTCAGCTGCATATTGCGCAATTGATACTGGTGACCAATAGAAAATGTCATGTATACTGAGATGATGCAATATTAGCCTTTAATTGCATCACTTCACTGCATAAAAGCTGCAGTATCTGTAGCTGATTGGAGTTCGTCTTTACATTTCGTTTTATGCTTATATAGGCTACTCAGTAATGCCTCGAACTTGTGTGAATAAAGCAGATAATTTCTGCTATATCTGCGGTGAAATAACTTTTATCTCACAAAAAAGGAGGATAACAGGAATGATTAAGAAAGCCTACAACTTGTATTTTGGCTGCAAGATAGGAGACCAGGACAAGAGCTGGGCACCACATATATGCTGCAATTCTTGTGGGACGGCACTGGAGCAATGGTTGAATGGAAAAAAGGCATCTATGCCTTTCGCTGTGCCAATGATTTGGAGAGAGCCAACAGATCATGTTAGTAATTGTTACTTTTGTATGGTGCCTCCAATTGTAAAAGGGCTAAATAAGAAGAAAAAGTTATCTGTGCACTATCCAAATATTCCATCGGCAATACGTCCAGTTCCTCATGGAGAGGGGCTACCAATTCCTAAAGCACCAGAATCCTTCGTGGTTGAGTCAAGTGAGGAAGAACCTGAAGTGTGTAGTCATCAACCGTCAACCTCACATGACCCAGACTTTCTTCCATCCACACCCACTGAACCACACTTCATTACACAATTGGAATTGAGCGATCTTATCAGAGACCTGGATCTTCCCAAGAACAAGGCAGAGCTTTTGGGGTCAAGACTACAACAGTGGAATCTCCTAGCAAGTGATGTTCGTACGTCTTTCTACCGTCATCGTCAGAAAGATCTGATCCCATTCTTCATCCAGGAAGGTGATATTGCTGTATGTAACAATGTTCATGGTTTAATCTCAGCCATCGGCGTATGCTATGATCCCGATGAGTGGAGGCTGTTCATTGATGCTTCAAAGGCGAGTCTTAAAGCTGTTTTGCTCCATAATGGCAATCAGCTGCCGTCAGTTCCAGTTGCTTACGCAGTTTCAATGAAAGAAACGTATGAAAACTTGAAAGAGCTTTTAAGGTGCATCAACTATGATGAACATCAATGGTCGATTTGTGGTGACCTGAAGGTGATTGCTATCCTACTTGGACTTCAAGGTGGATATACTAAGTACTGCTGCTTCCTCTGTGAGTGGGACAGTCGTGCGAGAGAAATGCACTATGCCAAAAGAGACTGGCCATTACGCCAGTCATTGCAGCCTGGAGAAAAAAATGTTAACTATCCAGCACTTGTAGACAGCAATAAGATCTTATTACCTGCATTACACATCAAGTTGGGATTAATGAAAAACTTTGTTAAGGCAATGGACAAGAATAAAGCAGGTTTCAAGTACCTGATTAGCAAATTTCCAGCACTTAGTGCTGCAAAAATAAATGAAGGAGTCTTTGTTGGGCCACAGATTCGTAAACTTATTCATGATGATGAGTTTCTTTCTCTGTTGCGTGGAAAGGAAAAGGCTGCCTGGACAGCATTTGTATCAGTGACATCAAATTTTCTTGGAAACAATAAACCAGACTACAAGAAAGTGGTAGAAAAACTCATCCAGACTTACAGAAATCTGGGTTGCAACATGTCTCTAAAAATTCATTTTCTACATTCGCATCTGGATTTTTTCCCACCAAACTGTGGAGCAGTGAGTGATGAACACGGAGAGCGCTTTCATCAAGACATTGCAGCTATGGAAAGAAGATATCAAGGTAAATGGAGCCCATCAATGCTTGCTGACTATTGCTGGACAGTTGTAAGAGATAACCCTTTCCTCGAATACAAGAGAAAAGCCAAGAGAAGCAAAACCGACACAAACTGAAGACAAAACTAGTGAGAATCCTAAGTATTAAAATGATTCAACTTAGCTTATGGCTATAATTTTTCTTGGTAATCCTATGCAATATATTATGCCATTTAGGCTTTGTTATGTAGTCAATATCACTTGCTTTATATTTGTGGAAAGACATCTATCTATATAATTATTGTGCATTATGTAGTCATTACGCCTATAGTAGAAAACTTTCCGTTTACAGAAAAACTAGAGCCAATTGACAAATTTCATTGTTATATTTGAACTCAGAATGTGAAATTCATTAAGAAATGGATCCTTTTGTTTCCAAAACTGGCAAAAAATAAAAATTTGTTGAACAGTGTAATTTGCCCGAGTCAACGACTAGTAATGAAAGTTGACAGTGAATTGGTAGCCACCTACCTGGATCTGCACTGTGATTGGCTCCACAATCTTCAGGCTGTTTTTTATCGAACGGGTCGAAAAGGTCGTCTCTCATGATGTCCGGCTGTAGGACGTACCCGCACTGTCCGCCCAGCATGAAGAGCGCCTGGTTCAGCTGCATGGGCTTGTCTATAAACACAGAGTGATGGGTTACAAGGGATGTAGAAGACCCTCAGCAGCCAAAATCTAGATGTTTCCTACACTGGAATGGTACCTTTAGCTGACCCTTCATTTATAGGAAACCTCAAGGAGAAGTAGAATCTGACTAATGGAGTAAGAACTGTTCAGCACTCTTCGCACAATGAATGCTCACATACCATGAAGGTGAAGCTATGTCAACTTTAATCAACCAATCACACGCCATCAAAAATCCATTTTTTTCTCATTTCCTTTGCACTACATTGGGTAATGAAAGTAAACACAGCTTCAACTTATTCATTAAGCTAGGTCAGGGGTGGGCAACTGTGGCCCTCCAGCTGTTGTAGAACTACAAGTCCCATGAGGCATTGCAAAACTGACAGTTACAAGCATGACTCCCAAAGGCAGAGTCATGACGGGACTTGTAGCTCACCAACAGCTGGAGGACCACAGTTGCCCACCCCTGAGCTAGGTGAACCTTCAGTTTGCCAAGTGAACAATCTTTACTCCTTTATTCAATCAGCCCATACAAATGTGACCAGTACCTGGAGTCTGGAAATTGAGGGCCACCAGCTGGCTCCCACAAATCCACATGGGCAGTGGGTCATAGTTGGAGGAGTCCAGCCGCTGTCCTTTGGGGTAAACCCGGCTCAGCTGACGCCGATTATACTGCAGGAACTTCTTCCCTTTGCTGCGGTTGGCGTATTTTTCTGCCTTGGTCTCGGGGAATGAAGACATGTCACGGTAGCAGGCCTTTTCTGTCCCGATCTCTGTGAAGATGTAAGTCAGGTGATACTACAGATGGTCATAATTACAACCCAGAAACTCATCATTGATAACAACCTTCTTGATCCCTTACAGCCTGGCTTTCTCCTGCAACACTCAACAGAAACTGCCCTGCTAAAATGAACTAATCACCTCCCTAAACTAATGGCTGCAAATCTGTACTCATACTGTTAGACCTTTCTGCTGCCTTTGGCACAGATGACTACCCTCTCCTCAGAAAACTCCACTCCCTTGGCCTCCAAGAATGTGTGCTTTCTTGGTTCTCCCAACTACGTCACCTACAATTCCTTTGATGCCACCTACAATTCCATCTCCTCATCTTCTATTGCTCTTTCCATAGGGGTTCACCAAGGCTTTGCCCTCAGACCTCTTCTGTTCTCTGTGTACACCTCCTCCCTTGGTCGGTAATTTACTAACTGACATATCAGTATGGATGTCATACTGCTTATGACTCAACTATTCCAAAAATGGGCTCAAAAATCAAGATCAGTAGCACAATTGTCAATTCCTCTTCTCATGCCAGGGTGTTGTGTATAATCCTGACCTCTCTTTTCAGCCCCACATCCAATTACTATCAAAGTTTTGCAGCCTTTACCTGCATAACATGTAATCAGTGACACCAACAAGATCACCGCCACCACAAGACACCGCTGAGATCACTCAACTATTGCAATCCCCTCCTTGTTGGCCTACCTCAACATTGACTAAATCCCCGCCTTCTTTTAGTCTATCATGAATCTATCAGTGTCCATCAGTGTCCTCTCTTCCAATCCCTCCACTGGCTTTCGATCGCCCAATGAATAAAAGTCAAAATACTAACAACATACAAAGCAATTTACAACTCTGCCCCGAGATACATCACCAATCTTGTCTCCAAATGTCACTCAAAGATTCCTCTCTGCTCCTCCCAAGACCTTCTACTCGCAAGTTCCATCGTCACCTCCTCCTACTACTTGCCTCCAGGACTTCTCCAGAGCCACTCCCATCCTCTGGAACTTCCTACCCCAATTTCTGTCCCAAGACCTCCTGCTCTCCATTTCCCTCATCACCTCCTCCCATACCTGCCTCCAGGACTTCTCCAGAGCCACTCTCATCCTCTGGAACTCCCCTACACCAATTTCTGTCCCAAGACCTCCTGCTCTCCATTTTCCTCATCACCTCCTCCCATGCCTGCCTCCAGGACTTCTCCAGTTCCTCTCCCATCATTTTGAAATTTCTAACCCAATACTATCGCCTACCCTGTCCACCTTTAGGTGATCCCTTTTACTGTATTTCTTAAGAACCGTTCTCAACCAGTGTTCCGTAGAATCCTAAGATCCCTCAAGAGGTTACCAAGGTTACTGATTGACCTCCCATTTGATGATGCCTGCATAGTTCCAGGGACAAAATAGCTTGGCCATGCAAGAAGGATGACAGCAATGATCTATTTTAGCTGTAGGGGTGGTATTGTTCCTACTGGATACCAATCTAAGGGGGCAGGCATTCTTCCTATGGGCCACCAATGTAAGGGTAAGCATTCTTCTTCTAGCCACCAATGTAAGGGGGGCATTGTTCCTACTGTCCACCAACGTAAGGGGTCGCATTCTTCCTACTGATCACCAATGTAAGGGGAGGCATTCTTCCTACTGACCACCAATGTAAGGGGAGGCATTCTTCCTACTGATCACCAATGTAAGGGGAAGCCTTCTTCCTACTGGCCACCAATGTAAAGGGGACATTCTTCCTACTGGCCGCCAATGTAAGGGGAGGCATTCTTCCTACTGGCCACCAATGTAAGGGGAGGCATTCTTCCTACTGGCCACCAATGTAAGGGGAGGCATTCTTCCTACTGGCCACCAATGTAAGGGGAGGCATTCTTCCTACTGGCCACCAATGTAAGGGGAGGCATTCTTCCTACTGGCCACCAATGTAAGGGGAGGCATTCTTCCTACTGGCCACCAATGTAAGGGGAGGCATTCTTCCTACTGGCCACCAATGTAAAGGGGGACATTGTTCCTACTGGCCACCAATGTAAGGGGAAGCATTCTTCCTACTGGCCACCAACGTAAAGAGATACATTCTTCCTACTGGCCGCCAAAGTAAGGGGAGACATTCTTCCTACTGGCCACCAATGTAAGGGGAGGCATTCTTCCTACTGGCCACCAATGTAAGGGGAGGCATTCTTCCTACTGACCACAAATGTAAGTTTTTTTACCCATTGGACCACAAAGAATCAATTTTAGCAGGTTCTCTAAGACCTCAAAATTATTATCCTCTGGGGTAAAAAGGTTGAGACAGTCTGCATGAACATAATGAAGCTTAGATCAGATTTTGGCGCTTGGCTTTAGATCCACTTTGAATATATTGAAGATTCAAAAGATACAATATATCATTTTTAGTATTCTTATAGCGCCAGTTCTGAGCAGAGCCTCCATCTCCAGAGAGCTGTGCATATTACACCTGCCTTTGTTTTCTACCTGTGAGAGATATACGTGACAATGACAAGAATGGGTCCCGAAACATGATCCAGGAGGAAGCGCTGGAAGTGTCCATACTTCCGATCCTCCCAGGGGCGATATTTACAGCTGTGAGGGGAATGTTCATTATAGACAGTGAGGAAGGCCCTCCTGTCTACAGAGCTGTGACCTCACAGTGGAGCCGGATACCTCCCAGGTGACACGTGTAGGAAAGACCCAGAGCCCCCACACAGGTAATGTATTCCTTCATCTCCGTGAGATTTACGAGAACGGTGATAAGATTTCAGGAAGTGGGAGTCACACCATGAGAAACAAAAATTCACAAAAGGTAAAACTTTGAACCTGAACTACCAGAAATGTTCATGCCTGGAGCTACACTAGGGTGGCCACCTCGTCCCTTCAAACCCGAACACATAATAATGACACGAGTTCTGTGGCTGATTAAGGTGATATTTAACCACTTCATGTCTGGACGCTTTCCCCCCCCCCCCCCTTTCAGTCCGGACGCTTTCCCCCCCCCTTTTCAGTCCGGACGCTTCCCCCCCCCCCCCCCCCCTTTCAGTCCGGATGCTTTCCCCCCCTTCCTGTCCGGACACTTTCACCCCCCTTCCAGTCCGGACACTTTCACCCGCTTCCAGTCCGGACACTTTCACCCCCTTCCAGTCCGGACACTTCCCCCCCCCCCCTTCCAGTCCGGATGCTTTCCCCCCCCTTCCAGTCCGGACGCTTTTCCCCCCGCTTCCAGTCGGGATGCTTTCACCCCCTTCCAGTCCGGACGCTTTCCCCCCCTTCCAGTCCGGACACTCCCCCCCCCCCCTTCCAGTCCGAACACTTTCCCTCCTTCCAGTCCGGACACTTTCCCCCCCCCCCCTTCCAGTCCGGATGCTTTCCCCCCCTTCCAGTCCGGACGCTTTTTCCCCCGCTTCCAGTCGGGATGCTTTCACCCCCTTCCAGTCCGGACACTTTCCCCCCCTTCCAGTCCGGACACTCCCCCCCCCCCTTCCAGTCCGAACACTTTCCCTCCTTCCACTCCGGACACTTTCCCCCCTTCCAGTCCGGACGCTTTCCCCCCCTTCCAGTCCAGACACTTTCACCCCCTTCCAGTCCGAACACTTTCCCCCCTTCCAGTCCGGACACTTTCCCCCCCTTCCAGTCCGGACACTTTCCCCCCTTCCAGTCCGGACACTTTCCCCCCCTTCCAGTCCGGACGCTTTCCCCCCCTTCCAGTCCGGACGCTTTCCACCCCCTTCCAGTCCGGACGCTAACCCCCCTTCCAGTCCGGACACTTTCCCCCCTTCCAGTCCAGACACTTTCCCCCCTTCCAGTCCAGACACTTTCCCCCCTTCCAGTCCGGACACTTTCCCCCCTTCCAGCTCGGACACTTTCCCCCCCTTCCAGTCCGGACACTTTCACCCCCCTTCCAGTCCGGACACTTTCCCCCCCTTCCAGTCCGGACACTTTCACCCCCTTCCAGTCCGGACACTTTCACCCACTTCCAGTCCGGACACTTCCACCCCCTTCCAGTCCGGACACTTCCCCCCCTTCCGGTCCGGACACTTTCACCTCCTTCCGGTCCGGACACTTCCCAACCCCCCCCCCCTTCCAGTCCAGGCCAATTTTCAGCTTTATCACACTTTGAATGACAATTGTGTGGTCATGCAACATTGTACCCATATGAATTTTTTAGATACAGATAAAAATTTATTTTGGTGGGATTTTTATTTTTCTTGCTATATAAATAAACAGTCCAAAAATTTTGAAAAAAATTGTTTTTCTTATAAAATTTTGCAAATAAATAATCTTTCTTCATAAATCTTGGCCAAAATGTATTCAGTTATCTTTTTAGTTAAAAAAAAAATAACCCAAATTAGTTTATAACCAAAAATTCTAATTAAAAAAAATTTTTTTTTTACATCTTTATTTTATTTTTTTATATTATTTGTTTGTTTTTTTTTTACATACTGTCACCCTAGCAGTAGTGTCACCATGGTGACACTGTACTACTTGTGGGGGGTGATGAAGATTTTTTTTTTTTTTTTTTTTTACACTGATTGCTTTTACACCCATAAAGGCTGTAAAAGCAATCATTTCTCCTTCTCTCTGGCTGCATTCCTGCAGCCATTGAGAAATACTGTGTGAGCTGTGATTGGTCACAGCTTGTCACATGGTACAAGGCTGTTGTGAATAGCCCTGTACCATGTGATCTGTGTGATCATTCACAGATTTCACACGTAGTAAGCAATGATGTCAGAAGTGACATCTTGCTTACTACTCTTCATGTGATCGGGACCTCACACAGAGGTCCCGTACAACGAATGGTGTTCTGCTGTGTCCAGAGGACACAGCAGGCACCGGATCGCGGTGCTGCGCGCTCCCAGGGAGAGCGCACAAGCAAGGGGCAGGAAGGCCGTTTATAAATGGCCACCCGCCCCTGGACTGCTCCCGTCCGGCTGTTTATGTACATGGGCTGGACAGGAAGTGGTTAATGACATTTATCTGTATTCTGACCACGTGTGTTACCACGTCTGCTATTTTATCGTGGACAGCAAGTTAGAAAAAAGAGCCAACGTGAAATTCTGTGTGTAACCTGTAAACCCAAGTTTTGTCACCAGTATTGATCCTTGACGTGAAGGATGGGTCCATCCTTGGAGTTCTCGGCAGACTTCGACATGGTGTTTCCCGCTGCTCCTGGATCAGCAGCCTGGGGACGAACGTGGCAGCAACATGGTGCATGTTTTAATCACACGTGAGGATCGCCTGGACTGTTCCGAGAATGGTGGCCATGTGGTGGATGGTTCTCCGACAATCATCATGTACAAGTTGCCGAATGATTTCGACATTTTCGGGGGTTGTGCTCCTTGAAGGTCTTCTGATCTCTCGTCGTCTTCCAGTGATGTTCTCCCACTGTTGAAGCGAGAGTGCCACTCAGCGCACCTCGAACGTCTCATTTCAGCATCGCCGAAAACTTGCCCAATCGCGTCAAATGTCTCTGTGGCTGATTCGCCCGGTTTCACGCAGAATTTCACATTTGCTCTTTGTTCTAACTTGCTGTCCGTGATGAAATGGCAGACATGGCAACGTACGTGGTCAGAATAGCACCAGTTGCACAGCTCCCGATGTACACAGGACGATGTCTTTTGGCACACTGACTTTTGAAGGTTGGCAATCCCTGTGACTGTGCAGGCAAGCCTTGTGCTGCCATCTGTTGGCGTGTTACAAAACTAGAATTTTTGATACCACCTCGTAGCTAGCCCTCCAAAAAACACAGGAAGATGGAAACTTTTTGATACTGTCTCGTATATGATTGGACAGGGTGCCCTCCCACAACCGTCCAACAATACAGCTAGCAAGGAGGTTGACACGCCCCCTCCCTCTGTGTTCTCCCTGCCAGCAGCCAGCAGCCAGCTATCACAGCCGTCCTCTCCTTGATAGCTACCTTGTCTGATGGCTGTAAAGGGGGGGGGGGGGGCATTCCAACCACATAGCTATCCTTCCACCCCGTGTATGGGGAACAGAACACATTAAACACACACAAAAAATGTACATTTGATCCTGCCAATCGTAACTCCTTCATTCTACCGTGGTTGGATATCCTATCCAGGGCTGCTGTTAGAAACACAGGGCCCCATACAGCCGACCTGACAGCCCCCCCCCCCCCCCCAAAAAAAATGTTTACTATGCTTCAAGTTACGAATAGACACAGCGAGTGATTGGAGCCGATCCCTCATTGTGTTCATTCAGAAAAGAAAGGGGCTGGTAAATATGACATATTTACCAGACCCTTCCACCCCACTGTCCAGGGAAGGAGAGGAGAGAAGCTGACAGCATTGCAGGGGTGGGGGGCACACAGGGGGTGGAAACTTATGGTGTACAGGGAGGGTGATGGGTGGGGGGGGGGGGGCAATCACTGGTACCAATCCCCTGCATGCCCACATGGAAGAAAAATATATTTTAAAAATATTCTTCCAATATACGAACATATTTTAAATACTACAATTTTTGCCGTATTCAATATATAAAAAAAAAAAATATATATATATATATAGCCTGCCTGTTGAAATGCATTTTTTTTATATATTACAAAATATATGAAAAATACAAATCTACATGTTTGGAATGCATTTACAAATAGATGTAAAAATAAAAATATATGTTACAATGACTTTTTTATATGTTAAAAAAAATCTGAAGAATATATTTAAAAAATATATATTTGTGAATATATTATTAGCTTGAGGTGATTGTAGCCGTATTAGTGCATTTGCGACAGAAACAATTGAGTACTGTCCGTGATACTTTTTTTTATTTGCACTAACATACAATTTTGAGGACAATCAAATCAAAATCTCTGTGTATCCCCAAAGAAAAGTAAATCTTTCACCCTTGAAAGTACAAATGTCATAAACCTTTTCCGCAATCCTTCCCCAAAACTCAAATTCTACCCCAAATTTCCAAAATAAATCCGAAGAAATGTCCACAATTCAAAGTCCACAAAATGTTAACACTATTCAATCTTCCAAATGTGATAAGTATCCAATTCGCCACTTCAATCCAAGATACCTCAAAAAAATTTAAACTGAATATAGTGCATTATCTTTCAAATAATATAATAATCTGTGATGTCATGCAAAAACACTCGTGACAAAAAAAAAAATATCCCTTGAGAAGAAGTCGGAAGAAGGGAGTCAAGCTTGAGCTGATAGTCATACAACTGTTGGATAATGATTGAGGAATCCCATGTCCAACCAGACCACACAATGGGAGACCTCACTATGGAGGAGCACACAATGGGAGACCTCACTATGGAGGACCACACAATGGGAGACCTCACTATGGAGGAGCACACAATGGGAGACCTCACTATGGAGGAGCACACAATGGGAGACCTCACTATGGAGGACCACACAATGGGAGACCTCACTATGGAGGAGCACACAATGGGAGACCTCACTATGGAGGACCACACAATGGGAGACCTCACTATGGAGGAGCACACAATGGGAGACCTCACTATCGAGGAGCACACAATGGGAGACCTCACTATCGAGGAGCACACAATGGGAGACCTCACTATGGAGGAGCACACAATGGGAGACCTCACTATGGAGGAGCACACAATGGGAGACCTCACTATGGAGGAGCACACAATGGGAGACCTCACTATGGAGGACCACACAATGGGAGACCTCAATATGGAGGAGCACACAATGGGAGACCTCACTATGGAGGACCACACAATGGGAGACCTCACTATGGAGGACCACACAATGGGAGACCTCACTATGGAGGACCACACAATGGGAGACCTCACTATGGAGGACCACACAATGGGAGACCTAACTATGGAGGAGCACACAATGGGAGACCTCACTATGGAGGAGCACACAATGGGAGACCTCACTATGGAGGACCACACAATAGGAGACCTCACTATGGAGGAGCACACAATGAGAGACCTCACTATGGAGGAGCACACAATGGGAGACCTCACTATGGAGGAGCACACAATGGGAGACCTCACTATGGAGGAGCACACAATGGGAGACCTCACTATGGAGGACCACACAATGGGAGACCTCACTATGGAGGAGCACACAATGGGAGACCTCACTATGGAGGAGCACACAATGGGAGACCTCACTATGGAGGACCACACAATGGGAGACCTCAATATTTTCGTTCTTAAAAGGAAATTTCAAATCCATTCAGGAAAAAAATGCTTTTGAACTAAGAATGATAATTCTATTTGACACAAGAGATAACGGCCTGAATTTGGACATGGGATTCCTCACTCATTATCCAACAGTTTTATGACTCTCAAGCTTGACTCTCTTCTTCCGACCTCCGACTTCTTCTCAAGGGATATTTTTTTTTTGTCCCTCCGCCCCTTTGCTTTTGCTGTGTCTTATCTCTAGCCTTTTTTTTTTTCATCTCTTCTAACATTCTGCTAAAACTTTGTGATTTGTATAGTACCGCTTGGACCTTGAAGAAGGGGACATTCCCCGAAACCTTGTCCTCAAAATTGTATGTTAGTGCAAATAAAAAAAAGTATTACGGACAGTACTCAATTGTTTCTAAACATATTATAAAAAATATATTCAGAACACACGCTGCAAATATATATCCCAGTATCATTTGGAATGCATTTACAAGTATATTTAAAAATCTTAAGTTTAAATGCATTTTTTTAGATGTTCAAAAAATAATCTGGAAAATATATTTTGAAAAATATATTTTTAAATATATCCCTTTGGAAAATATATTTTAATTTCCATTTTTGGAATACACATTAAAATATATTTGCGTAGGCCAATATATTGAAATATGTATAATTTTGTTTTCTAAATACAGTTGCAAGAAAAAGTATGTGAACCCCTTGGGATTACGTGGAGTTTTGCATGAATTGGGCATAAAATGTGCTCTGAACGTCATCTAAGTCACAATAGAAGAACACAGTCTGCTGAACATAATACTACACAAACATTAGATGTTGCCATGGTTTCATTGCACATAACATGTAAACATTCACAGTGCAGGGAGGAAAAAGTATGTGAGGCCCTAGCTTAATGACTTCTCCCAGAGCTAATTGGAGCCAGGAGTGAGCCAACCTTGACTCCAATCAGTGTGATGATATTGGATGTGTTGCTGACAGCTGTCCTGCCCTTAAAAAACACACCTGTTTTGGGTTTACTGGTTTCAAGAAGCACTGTCTGATGTGAACCATGCCTCGCAGAAAAGAGCTCTCAGAAGACCTACCATCAAGAATTGTTGACTTGCATGAAGCTGGAAAGGGTTACAAAAGTATCTCCTTGAGCCTTGATGTTCATGTGTCCACGGTAAGACAGACTGTCTACAAATGGAGAAAGTTTAGCACTGTTGCTACTCTCCCTGGGCGTGGTCGTCCTGTAAAAATGACTGCAAGAGTACAGCGCAGAATGCTGCATGAGGTAAAGAAGAATCCCAGAGTGTCAGCTAAAGACCTACAGAAATCTCTGGCACATGTTATATTTCTCTTCCATATGGGCACATATGATTCACCCAGCATCTTGGGCCCCCCCTGTACAGGATACCCCCTGATCCAATCTCTACTCTGCAAAAGTCACATTTTCTAAATCTTGCATTGATGAACCCTAATGAGACTGAAACAACTGTACGCAATCTGTCGTAGTGGCTGCATCTATATTTAGGAGAAATGTTCTATCTGTAGCCAGCCGGGAAGGGCGGCCGTTTTTTTTCGCAGTTGATGAATATATGCGCAGAAACCAACGACTTACTTTCTTCATCGAAAGGCACGGGGCGGCAATAGACGACCAGCTCTGAAAGCTCCAGCGCGATCTTCTTCCTCCTCTCCATTATCTTCCCCTCCTGCATCTGGGAACACAGAGAGACGCATAGGGCGGTCATTTACTCGAAAGCCGGCCATACACGTGTAGATTTTCGGACAAAAATATTCCTAAGAAAAGTCGTCCGAAAATTCTTTTAAACATTCGGTGAAAGTTGTTCGGAAATTGTCTTGCTTTTAACATTTGAGTTTGAAACGAATGTCATTTCTGAACGATCACCACATCCACCAGCCGAAAATTCGTCTGATCGAGAAAAGTTTTACTTCCCGCCCCTTCGAATTTTCCTGTCACTGCGGTCGAAAACAAATATCAATTTGACTATGAGAAAATCAAACAAATATTCGTGAACAAAAATCTACACGTGTATGGCTGGATATAGGCTCCGTTCACACCAATTGCAGAAAACGCACTACAGTCCATTTAGTATGGTTTCCTATAGGACATGTTCACCCCGCCCACATACCTGCAGCCGCACCCCCTACATGGAGGAACACGGGATCCGCCCATATACCTGCAGCCGCACCCCCCACATGGAGGAACGCGCGCGACCCGCTCAAATACCTGCAGCTGCACCCCCCGCACCGAGGAACGCGGGACCCACCCAAATACCTGCAGCCGCACCCTCCGCACCAAGGAACGCGGGACCCGCCCAAATACTTGAAACTGCACCACCCGCACAGAGGAACACAGGACCCGCCCAAATACCTGCAGCCGCACCCCCCACACAGAGGAACACAGGACCCGCCCAAATACCTGCAGCCGCACCCCCCGCACAGAGGAACACAGGACCCGCCCAAATACCTGCAGCCGCACCACCCGCACAGAGGAACACAGGACCCGCCAAATACCTGCAGCCGCACCACCCACACAGAGGAACACAGGACCCGCCAAATACCTGCAGCCGCACCACCCGCACAGAGGAACACAGGACCCGCCCAAATACCTGCAGCCGCACCACCCGCACAGAAGAACACAGGACCCGCCCAAATACCTGCAGCCGCACCCCCGCACAGAGGAACACAGGACCCGCCAAATACCTGCACCTGCAGCCCACCCGCACAGAGGAACACAGGACCCGCACCAACATACCTGCAGTATACCTGCAGCACCACCCCACAGAGGACACAGGACCGACCTGCAGGCAACACAGAGGACAGGACCCGCCCAAATACCTGCAGCCGCACCATCCGCACAGAGGAACACAGGACCCGCCCAAATACCTGCAGCCGTACCACCCCCAGCCGCTCACCACCCGCACAGAGGAACGCGGGACTCGCCCACAGAGGAACACAGGACCCGCCCAAATACCTGCAGCCAGAGGCACACCTTGGACCCGCCCACACAGAGGAACACAGGACCCCGCCCAAATACCTGCAGCCGCCCCACACAGAGGAACCCCCACAGAGCCGAACCCGCACAGGGAACCAGGACCCGCCCAAATACCTGCAGGACCCACCCGCACCCCCACACAGAGGAACGCAGGACCCCCCCCAAATAACTGCAGCCGCACCACCCGCACAGAGGAACGCAGGACCCCCCAAATAACTGCAGCCGCACCACCCCACAAACCACCCACCTGCAGCCGCACCACCCCCACAGAGGAACGCAGAGGAACCCGCCCACAGCAGGCACCACCCACCCGAGGAAACACCCAAATACCTGCAGCCGCACCACCCTCACAGAGGGAACACAGGACCCGCCCAAAACGCTGCAGCCGCACCGCCCGTACAAAGGAACACAGGACCCGCCCAAATAAACCCCTGCAGCAGCACCACCCGCACAGAGGAACACAGGACCCGCCCAAATACCTCCAGCCGCACCACCCGCACAGAGGAACACAGGACCCACCCAAATACCTGCAGCCGCACCACTCGCACAGTGTTTCTAGGATTTCAAGTAACTTTCTAGCAAAAAAAAAGTGAGAAAATGTATAAATTGCTCCGGGGACAGCAATCGGTTAAAGAACTCTTTCCACCACCAAATAGGGGGAGCCCTTTCATAACATCATTTTGCAGCTCCCCTGGTGTTCATCAGGAGTATTGCAATGTGTGGACTCACCCTGGCGTCCGCGTTCTGGGTGGCCTCTCGGATCTTCGCTATCCAGTCGTTTGAGCTCTTCTAGTGTGTCGGCGGCGGCCACGTCCAGGGCCTGAGAGGGGGTGTGACATCTGCTGGGAGTGGATGGTGAACACGTGAGGTTTGGGGCCTCGGGCCTTCTTTAGATAGGACTGTGGGAGAAGAAGGGGGGGCAGGGTTTAATTAAAAAAAAAACCATCAGAAAACAGTTGCATCCTCATGGCGGGTGTAAGCGCCAAAGTAAGGTATTCTTTAAACACTTTCCTGCCCCCTCTAAGTGGGCTTTTACCCACAGGATGGAAGAAAAATATATTTTAAATATATTCTTCCCAAATATATTAAATATATTTGAAATGCTAACAATTTTAGACATATTATATATATTTCAGTGTGTGTTTGTGTGTGTGTATATATATAAATATATATATATATATATATAAAAATACACATACACACGTACAAATACATTTTCAATATACTGTATGTCTGGCCGTATTCAATATATTTCAAAATATATATATATATATATATATATATATACAGTGGTGATCGAAAGTTTGGGCACCCCAGCTAAAAATTTGTATTAATGTGCATAAAGAAGCCAAGGAAAGATGGAAAAATCTCCAAAAGGCATCAAATTACAGATTAGACATTCTTATAATATGTCAACAAAAGTTAGATTTTATTTCCATCATTTACACTTTCAAAATAACAGAAAACAAAAAAATGGCGTCTGCAAAAGTTTGGGCACCCTGCAGAATTTATAGCATGCACTGCCCCCTTTGCCAAGCTGAGACCTGCCGGTGTCATGGATTGTTCTCAATCATCGTCTGGGAAGACCAGGTGATGTCAATCTCAAAGGTTTTTAAATGCCCAGACTCATCTGACCTTGCCCCAACAATCAGCACCATGGGTTCTTCTAAGCAGTTGTCTAGAAAACTGAAACTGAAAATAGTTGACGCTCACAAAGCTGGAGAAGGCTATAAGAAGATAGCAAAGCATTTTCAGATGTCAATATCCTCTGTTCGGAATGTAATTAAGAAATGGCAGTCATCAGGAAACAGTGGAAGTTAAAGCAAGATCTGGAAGACCAAGAAAATATCAGACAGAACAGCTCGCAGGATTGTGAGAAAAAGAATTCAAAACCCACGTTTGACTGCACGATCCCTCCAGAAAGACCTGGCAGACACTGGAGTTGTGGTACACTATTCCACTATAAAGAGATACTTGTACAAATATGGTCTTCATGGAAGAGTCATCAGAAGAAAACCTCTTCTACGTCCTCACCACAAAAATCATCGTTTGAACTTTGCAAATGAACATATAGACAAACCTGATGCATTTTGGAAACAAGTTCTGTGGACCGATGAGGTTAAAAATGAACTTTTTGGCCGGAATGAGCAAAGGTACGTTTGGAGAAGAAGGGGCACAGAATTTAATGAAAAGAACCTCTGTCCAACTGTGAAGCATGGGGTTGGATCAAATCATGCTTTGGGGTTGTGTTGCAGCCAGTGGCACAGGGAACATCTCACGAGTAGAAGGAAAAATGGATTCAATAAAATTTCAGCAAATTTTGGATGGTAACTTGATGCCATCTGTGAAAAAGCTGAAGTTAAAGAGAGGATGGCTTCTACAAATGGATAATGATCCTTAACACACCTCGAAATCCACGGGGGATTACATCAGGAGGCGTAAACTGAAGGTTTTGCCATGGCCTTCACAATCTCCTGACCTCAACATAATTGAAAATCTATGGATAGACCTTAAAAGAGCCGTGCGTGACAGACAGCCCAGAAATCTCAAAGAACTGGAAGACCTCTGTAAGGAAGAATGGGCAAAGATACCTCAAACAAGAATTGAAAGACTCTTGGCTGGCTACAAAAAGCGTTTACAAGCTGTGATACTTGCCAAAGGGGGCAGTACAAGATATTAACTCTGCAGGGGGCCCAAACTTTTGCAGACGCCATTTTTTTGTTTTCTGTTATTTTGAAAGTGTAAATGATGGAAATAAAATCTAACTTTTGTTGACATATTATAAGAATGTTTAATCTGTAATTTGATGCCTTTCGGAGATTTTTCCATCTTTCCTTGGCTTCTTTATGCACATTAATACAAATGTTTAGCTGGGGTGCCCAAACTTTCCATCCCCACTGTATATATACATATATATATATATATATATATATATATATAGAAATATTTTTATATTACAAAATATATGAAAAATATTTTTAAAAATACATTTAATATACATTTTTGGAATGCATTTATGTTATATGTTAAAATTACTTTTTTTATATGTTAAAAAAAAATCTGAAGAATATAGTTAAAAAATATATATTTTTTTAAAAATGTTTTCATATATTTTGTAATATATAAAAAATGCATTTCAACATGCAGGAGATAGAGATATATAATACTGCCAAAATCAATACTGCCCTATCAAGTGACAGTTTGGGTGCAGTGAGACCCCATGAATGCATGTATATATATACACACACATTGAAATATATTGAATAACGCCAAAATTGTAGTTTTTCAAATACATGTCGATATCTTTGGGAAAAATAATTTTACAATATATTTAAAATATATTTTTCTTCCCATGAGGGAATTCCTGTACTAGTGTCCTCATTGGAAGATTTCCCCTCTACTCCTGTTCTGGGGACAACCCAAAATGTGGGATGGTAATAGTAGACAGGACAAATAGAGGGGTGAAACCCCCTTCCCCCCCCCCTCCCCCCCAATGGGGGCACAGGCAGCAATAAAATCCTGACAAGGGTTCTAATCCCTCTCCACCATCCGAAACGAAAAAAAAAAAAAATAGTTTTTCCTTTCACATTAAACACGGGGGGTACTCACCGAATATGACAGGACGGGGGGTACTCACCGATATGACAGGACGGGGGGTACTCTCACCGAATATGATAGGGGGGGGGTACTCACCGATATGACAGGACGGGGGGGGGGGGGGGGGGTAGTCACCGACATGACATGACAGGACGGGGGGTACTCACCGATATAACAGGACGGGGGGGTACTCACCGATATGACAGGACGGCACGTCTATGAACCCTTTCAGGAAGTTTCCCAGGGGGCTGTTCTCTGCAGATTGACCGAAGAACAGCGTCTGAAAGACGGAGGGAACAAACAGTGGTTATGGGAGGCGGAGGAGAAAGAGGCGGAGTCAGACTATTCTTAAAGTAGACTTCTACTGCTCAACGTACATATCAGTATTTCCTGGGTGAATCCATGGAAGTGATGTAGATCAGTCTGTAGATGCAGTAACACATGCTTGTTATACTCACTGTGGAACCTAAGGGGGTTAATCCTCTGCATTGTGTAAAACTGCTGTTTGATCCTGTGTTCTCTGATCCTCCCCTTCTTCCAGTGTCTCCCTCCTAGTGGATATAGTGAATGCGGGGTCCGGGGAGAGTGGATATAGTGAATGCGGGGTCCAGGGAGAGTGGATATAGTGAATGCGGGGTCCAGGGAGAGGGGATATAGTGAATGCGGGGTCCAGGGAGAGCGGATATAGTGAATGCGGGGTCCAGGGAGAGCGGATATAGTGAATGCGGGGTCCGGGGAGAGCGAGATATAGTGAATGCGGGGTCCGGGGAGAGCGGATATAGTGAAATGCGGGGCTCGGGGAGAGCTGATATAGTGAATGCGGGGTCCGGGGAGAGAGCGGATATAGTGACTGCAGGGGTCCGGGGAGAGCGGATATAGTGAATGCGGGGTCCGGGGAGAGCGGATATAGTAGTGAATGCGGGGTCCGGGGAGAGCGGATATAGTGAATGCGGGGTCCGGGGAGAGCGGATATAGTGAATGCGGGGTCCGGGGAGAACGGGATATAGTGAATGCGGGGTCCGGGGAGACGGATATAGTGAATGCGGGGTCCGGGGAATGCGGGGTCCGGGGGAGCGGATATAGTGAATGCGGGGGTCCGGGGAGAGCGGATATAGTGAATGCGGGGTCCGGGGAGAGCGGATATAGTGAATGCGGGGTCCGGGGAGAGCGGATATATAGTGAATGCGGGGTCCGGGGAGAGTGGATATAGTGAATGCGGGGTCCTGGGGGAGAGCGGATATAGTGAATGCGGGGTCCGGGGAGAGCGGATATAGTGAATGCGGGGTCCGGGGAGAGCGGATATAGTGATTGCGGGGTCCGGGGAGAGCGGATATAGTGAATGCGGGGTCCGGGGAAGAGCGGATATAGTGAATGCGGGGTCCGGGGGAGAGCGGATATAGTGAATGCGGGGTCTGGGGGAGAGCGGATATAGTGAATGCGGGGAGAGCGGATATAGTGAATGCGGGGTTCGGGGAGAGCGGATGATATAGTGAATGCGGAGTCCGGGGAGAGCGGATATAGTGAATGCGGGGGTCGGGGGAGAGCGGATATAGTGAATGCGGGGGTCGGGGAGAGCGGATATAGTGAATGCAGGGTCTCAACCCAGGAACTCAGCACTGGGATGGACGGAACCCCTCATAATGGCACAGCGGGGCGTACAGACCCGGGAACTCAGCACAGGGATGGTGGACTTTTCCTTTAGCACTCAGATACAATGACATGGATGCTGTTCCCAAATACAGCGAGATGTTCCTGCAGTGGTATACAGGAGAGTGTTGCGTGTATCACATGATCAGTTGGGGGCGTGGCGCTCCGTACCGAGTCCTCCTGTTCTGCGCTCGGCGTGCTGCTTATCTCCTCCCACGTAGTTCGCTGGGAACCAAAGCTGCTTCTTCCCGCCATAATCCCCACGCCACCTGCAACCAATCAGAGGGAGGACAGGGAAGACATTACTGATAGTAAATACTGCGATCATGTTGTGTGCAGGAACAACAAGGGGACATTATGATTTCCGAACGATTTTTAGTTCGAAAATCGGACCTAAGAACGAAATCAGCTGATTTTCACTCTGTTAGTGGGGCCATGGCACCGGCCAATTTTTCTGGTTGCTCCCTATTTCGATTATCGGACATGCTGGAAAATTTGTGAAAAAACGACCGTTTTTCAAAATTATTGGTGGCACCATCGGATTACAGAATGAACAATGTTCTCGATTTATATATATATATGTATTTTGGAATATACGGAATACAGCCAGACATACGGTATATTTGAAAATGTATTTTTAAAAAGATTTTCCATATATTTTATAATAAAAATGCTATTATAAAATAGCATTTTTTTATTATAAAATATATTAAAAAATATTTTTAAAAATACATTTTCAAATATGCCGTATGTCTGGCTGTATTCCGTATATTTTATATATATATATATATATATATAAAAATCGAATATAAATTTATTAAAATATATTTTGAAATATATTGAAGACGGCCAAAATTGTAGTATTTCAAATCTATGTCAATATATTTGGGAAGAATATTTTTACAATATATTTAAATATATTTTTCAGTCAGCACAACATCACACTGTTGGCTAACATCAGAGGGATCGTACGACAATTGATACCTTCAGAACAGATCTTGATAAATTGCAAAAAGATGCACGCCATGACCAGGAGACTTGCAAGGGACCAACCTGCATAGCTGATATAGTGATCACATGATCAGGACTGCCTGTGATTGGCTCAGTGGCAGATGCTGGCTCTCATAGGGCGCACGTAGCGCCTGTAGCCTCCGGAATTTGTTTAAATCCCAGCTGGAAGACCTCCTGTGCTCCAGTGTTTGCAGCAGTTCCCCTTTAGGGTTTTATGGGCTGTCCTTCAAGTACCCCTCCTTTGGAAATGTTTTACCCTTCTCCCCCCACTCTCTCCATTGGCGTTGGGTTTTAGGAAATGCTACTCAAAAAAAAACAAGAAACCCTTTAGAACAGGCAGATACCACCACCGGGTCCAAACTCACCAGCCTCCATCTTGCTTGTCTACGTTGTGTATGATGGCTTGCTTACAGAAGGAGAGCTCGTCCTCCCGCTGGGCCTTGTAGTCGTAGAGAGCCTTCACCATACCCTGCAGAGATACAGGCAGGAGAGAGCAGAGTGATCACAATCTAGAAGGGAAGTGATTGAGGTCTGAGAAAAAAAACGTCTGACAATGTGTGGCCTTCACCGTATCACACACAAACACCGGTATGGCCACATTTACTGGACGACGCTTCTGCGAAAAGTGCTGAAAGTTCCCTTTAGTAAAGTGCCGAGAACACAGCAGGCTCTGTGTAAGTCTTTATCGGTAACAGCAATAAAAAAGAAAAAATTACATATATATATATTGAACTAATTGCAGAAAATATCAAAATAATATTCTATAAAATATTAATGTGGTGGTTTAATATTTTATATATTTAATAGATTTTTATATACACACACATATATATATATATTTATATAATATATTATATATATTATATACAGTGGGGATCGAAAGTTTGGGCACCCCAGCTAAAAATTTGTATTAATGTGCATAAAGAAGCCAAGGAAAGATGGAAAAAATCTCCAAAAGGCATCAAATTACAGATTAGACATTCTTATAATATGTCAACAAAAGTTAGATTTTTATTTCCATCATTTACACTTTCAAAATAACACAAAACAAAAAAATGGCGTCTGCAAATTTTTAGCTGGGGTGCCCAAACTTTCAATCCCCACTGTATATTTTATATATATATATATATATATATATATATATATATATAAATAAATAAATATATACACACACATATATATATATATATATATATATATATCTCTCCTGCATGTTGAAATGCATTATTTATATATTACCAAAATATATGAAACATGTTTTTAAAAATATATATTTTTTAAAATATCTTCAGATTTTTCTTAACATAGACATTTTAACATATAATTTTACATATGTTTGTAAATATATATCATTACATTAGAGCAACCGTTCTCGACCTTTTTATTTCAGAGGAACCCTTGAATAAAATTCAGGTTTCAAAATGTTGGGGAACGCCTGCTAAAACCAATTTAATTTGGGGGGTGGAAAAAAAAATGCCCCGCTTACAGTGGTGGTAAGAACGCCCCTTTTACAGACAGCCAAGAAGACCATCAGTGTTGCGGTGAATTTCTGGCACCATTAAAGAGGTCAATCAGTCACAGCTCAATTGACCCCTAGGAACCTTCAGTGGAACCCTTGAAAAAAATTGAGAGGTTTCAAAATGTAGTGGAACACCTGCTAAAACAAATTTATTTGGTGGGGTGGAAAAAAATGCCCCTCTTACAGTTCCTTTTACAGACCGCCAAGAAGATCATCAGTGTTTTGGTGAATGTGTGGCACCATTAAAGAGGTCAATCAGTCACAGCTCAATTGACCCCTAGGAACCTTCAGAGGAACCCTGGTTGAGAATAGAGGATTAAAGGGTGGGGACACAGCAGGGGCGGACTGACAACTCATGGGGCCCCCGAGCATGTAGGGGATCATGGGGCCCCTGTGTGCTTGCCCAAACTCAAAAAAGCCTATGAAAAAGGTACCAGGGGCATCTCATGGGGCCCCCTACTGACCCTAGGCCCTCGGGCAGTGCCCGAGTTTCCAAATGGTCAGTCCGCCTGTGGGACACAGAAGCTACTGGGGAGGTCTTGTCATTGAGTCTCCATCATAGAAGCAGGTGAATGAAACCCACCAGTGACCATTCTGAACGGCCAATAAGCATTGAAAATGTACTAGATCCCATGACACCATCTGAATGTGCCTTCTTCTATATCAAAAGTATTTTTCCCCCCAGACTAGGAGCACCAGGTATGAATGGCTTCTATGTCCAATTATAGCGACCTTTTAACTCTAGAAATTTAATATCTGTGACGTGGCCCTTGGAGACAAAGCTCAGACTGTACCGTCCCGTCATCTTACCCGAGATGTCGGCATTTTGTTGGCTTCCACATAGTGGTGCGGAGTCCGAACTTCATAGAGGGCACCATAGTCTAGTTCCTGAAAACAAAGACATATTTCTGGTCAAAGGAATTGTTCGTTGGTATAGGACCTGCATCGGAAAGCACACTATATAGCCAAACGTATGTTAACACTCTTTTCATTCATTGGGTTCAGGCCAACAAAGCCAGCTCCGTAAAGGCACGGTTTGACCAGTTTGGTGTGGAGGAACACAAGTGTCCTCCATAGAGCCCTGACCTCAACCCTACTGAACAGATTTGGGATAAAATGAAATGCCAACTGAGCCAAAACTTGTCCTACATCAATACCCGACCTCATAAATGGGCACTAATTCCCACAGATCCACGACTGTGGAAAGAGTGGAGGATGTTATAACTGCAAAGGGGCCAATTCAATATTAATGTCCATGGTTTTGAAATCTGAGATCCAACAAGCAGGTTACCAATACAGTAGGTATGGTTTGGACGTCCACCAACGTTTGGCCATAGAGTGTGAATACAAATCCAGGAGAAAGACTTATCATTGGGAATGGGGTGGAGGGATTTAGCCGCTAACTCACCGTTGTGCCCATCTTCTCCAGAGCTTCCTCATTAATAGGGTAGCGAAGTTTCATCTTGCGGTACAAAGGGTGCTTCTCATAATAGCTAACAAGGTCCACCAGGCTCTCAAACTCAGCTGAGCTTCCCAGCATGAAGAGACGCCCTTCCTGCTGGATGCGGCAGTGTTTAATCTTTCCCTCCGCCCTGTGAGAAAACAAGGCAGGCATCTATAACACAACTCCATAACTATTTGTTCTACATTGGAAGCCTTTACTGTGCCATTTCCACAGAAAAGCCCGGTGAGGCATGTCAAGGTGTTGTTGGGCATATTGTAACCAGGCTTTTTTTCTGGCATTGGCTCAGTAAAGTCTTCTTTATGGCAACTCAGCCATGCAGCTCATTTTTGTTCAAATATTATATTGTGCTCCTTGGAAGAAAAAAAAACACACACCAGCTTTTTCCAAAGCAGCCTGTATTTCTCCCGAGGTTACCTGTGGGTTTTTTTTTTCTTTGTATCCCGAATAATTCTTCTGGCAGTTGTGGCTGCCATCTTTCTTGGTCTACTTGACATTGACTTGGTATCAAGAGATCCCCAAATTTTCCACTTCTTAATAAGTGATGGAATAGTACTGACTGGCATATTCAAGGCTTTGGAAATCTTTTTAGATCATTTTCCATCTTTATAAAGTTACATTATCTTGTTATGCAGGTCTTTTGACAGTTCTTTTCTGCTCCCCATGGCTCAGTGCTTCCACGTGAGAGCTAACAAACTCACTGACTATTTACACACTGACACTAATTGCAATTTAAAAATCCACAGATGTGGGAAATCAACCTTTTAATTACCATTGTACCCTTTATGTGTCACCTTGTGTGTCTGTACCAAGGCCGAACATTCTGGGGGAGGCGGAGACTTCTGATCCAGGGGGCGGAGACTTCTGATCTGGGCCATTGGGGGGATTTCTGTTATCATTATGATTTCAAAAGGAGCCAAACAACTATGTGATAATAAATGGCTTCATATGACCATCATCCTTCAAATAAAAGAGCATTTTTTTGGCATGATCGGTCAGATTTTCAATATCAAAAATTTCTGTCAGGGGAGGAGAACTATTGAGCAAAACTGTATATATATGTGTGTATGCATGTGTGTATATATATATATATACATATATATATATATATATATATACACACACATATAGTCTGGCTGAAGAAAAGACAAAAGAAAAGAATGTAAAAAAACACTCCAGACGTAAAGAGCGCCCCCCTTGTCCTCTGTGATGACCTCAGGGTGACTACATCAAGGTCTATATGGACCACTGATGTATTGTACATGGAGATTATATCCCCCCCTTATGTATTATACATGGAGATCATATCCCCCCCCTTATGTATTATACATGGAGATCATATCCCCCCCTTATGTATTATACATGGTGATCATATCCCCCTTATGTATTATACATGGTGATCATATCCCCCCCTTATGTATTATACATGGAGATCATATCCCCCTTATGTATTATACATGGAGATCATATCCCCCCTTATGTATTATACATGGTGATCATATCCCCCTTATGTATTATACATGGTGATCATATCCCCCCTTATGTATTATACATGGAGATCATATCCCCCCTTATGTATTATACATGGAGATCATATCCCCCCTTATGGAGATATATTATACATGGAGATCATATCCCCCCTTATGTATTATACATGGAGATCATGGAGATCATATCCCCCCCTTATGTATTATACATGGAGATCATATCCCCCCTTATGTATTATACATGGAGATCATATCCCCCCCCTTATGTATTATACATGGTGATCATATCCCCCCTTATGTATTATACATGGAGATCATCATATCCCCCCTTATGTATTATACATGGAGATCATATCCCCCCTTATGTATTATACATGGAGATCATATCCCCCCTTATGTATATATTATACATGGAGATCATATATCCCCCCTTATGTATTATACATGGTGATCATATCCCCCCCTTATGTATTATACATGGTGATCATATCCCCCCTTATGTATTATACATGGAGATCATATCCCCCCTTATATATTATACATGGAGATCATATCCCCCCTTATATATTATACATGGAGATCATATCCCCCTTATGTATTATACATGGTGATCATATCCCCCCCTTATGTATTATACATGGAGATCATATCCCCCTTATGTATTATACATGGTGATCATATCCCCCCTTATGTATTATACATGGAGATCACATCCCCCCTTATGTATTATACATGGAGATCATATCCCCCCTTATGTATTATACATGGAGATCATATCCCCCTTATGTATTATACATGGAGATCATATCCCCCCTTATGTATTATACATGGAGATCATATCCCCCTTATGTATTATACATGGAGATCCCCCCTTATGTATTATCATATCCCCCCTTATGTATTATACATGGAGATCATATCCCCCCTTATGTATTATACATGGAGATCATATCCCCCTTATGTATTATACATGGAGATCATATCCCCCCTTATGTATTATACATGGAGATCATATCCCCCCTTATGTATTATACATGAGATCATATCCCCCCTTTATCTCCTCTTCTCAGTAGAGAATAAATTCAGTTCCTCTAATCTTTCCTCATAGCTGATCTCCTCCAAAACTGAACTGCATATTCCAGATGAGGTCTTACTAATGATTTGTACTGGGGGGGGGGGGATGATGATCTCTCTCTCTCTGGAGTCTATACCTCTCCTAATACGTTATTTCACGGCACAGCTTGGTGTTATCTGCAAAGACTGAAATGCTATTTTTATTCCCCGTCCCGATATCGTTTATAAAAATATAAAAAAATAAGGGTCCCAACACTAAACCTTGGGGTACCCCAATAATAACACTGACACTTGGGGTATACCACACCCACCCTCTGTCCAAGTCTACCACATCCACCACCACCCCTCTGTCCAAGTCTACCACATCCACAGCCCCCCCTCTATCCATGTATACCACGTCCACTGCCACCCCTCTGTCCAAGTATACCACATCCACCGCCAACCCTCTGTCCAAGTCTACCACGTCCACCACCACCCCTCTGTCCAAGTCTACCACATCCACAGCCCCCCCTCTATCCATGTATACCACGTCCACTGCCACCCCTCTGTCCAAGTATACCACATCCACCGACAACCCTCTGTCCAAGTATACCACGTTCGCAGCCCCCCCCCCCCCCCCCCCCCTGTCCAAGTAGGTGTGCTGGGAAATCTTTTCTTTGTACATTGATTACTCTTTTTTAGATGCGCGTGGAATGTCCAATATCCATAACTGTCTTATTCTTTCAAGAACTTACTAATGAATGATAAATCTCAGAACATTTACAGATGACGGACCGAGGAGCACCCCTTGTAGAACCCTCTGTACCCCCTCTTCACTCTCCCAATCCTATTCTCACCTGAAGGAAATCGCATAAGAATTTGATTCACTCCTCTTGCGCACCAGGAAGGCCCCGTCACGAGGGACCCGCATCAACATGTGCTCTGCCTGCAGGCGGGTGAGGCTGGTGTGGTACCACCTGATGGGGACAAAGAAAAGTAAGGAGGAAGAACATGACATATGATGATCTCAAGCAGTGGCGGACTGACCATTCGAGCACTCGGGCACTGCCCGAGGGCCCGGGGTCAATAGGGGGCCCCATAAGATGCCCCTGGTACCTTTCATTGGATTTTTCATAGGCTTTTTTGGGTGTGGGCGAGGACACAGGGGCCCCATGATCCCCTATTGCCTGGGGGCCCCATGAGTTGTCAGTCCGCCCCTGATCTCAAGGTAGGTGGATCTGCACGACTTCATCTGCCTACCTCTGGATCCATTCATTGTTTTGGCATGAGGGTCTCACACTTGGTCATCTGAGCTTAAAGTGTTCCTAAACCCCCAACAGCACAATCAGTCTGTAGATGCAGTAAAGCATGCTTGTGATACTCACTGTGGGACCTAAGGGGTTAATCCACAGCATTGTGTAAAAAGGCTGTTTGATCCTGTCTTCTCTGATCCTTCCCTTCTTCTACTGTCCCCAATCCATCTGACGATAGTACAGAGGTCTAGGAGTCACTCTGCACATGCTCAGTTTAGTGTATATTGATATAGAGGGTTTTTTATCTTCAGGAGAGTGCATGTGATCAGCACTGTCCAGACAGAGAGGTCAGGGGCTATGCAGCCTCACAGGACAATCAGAGCAGAATGAAAACTCCTCCTACAAGCATTAACCAGTGCTCAGCTGGACACGGATAGAAGTCACAAGAGTGCTATATACTGCTGATGAGCAAAGGGATTTAGCAGTTTATATTTACTAAAATAATTGCATTTCCATGTTCTGTGTACTGTGAGAGAGTGGATATAGTGAATGTGGAGTCTGTGGAGAGCGGATATAGTGAATGCGGGGTCCGGGGAGAGCGGATATAGTGAATGCAGGGTCCGGGGAGAGCGGATATAGTGAATGCGGGGTCCGGGGAGAGCGGATACAGTGAATGCGGGGTCCAGGGAGAGCAGATATAGTGAATGCGGGGTCCGGGGAGAGCGGACATAGTAAATGCGGGGTTCGGGGAGAGCGGATATAGTGAATGCGGGGTCCGGGGAGAGCGGATATAGTGAATGCGGGGTCCGGGGAGAGCGGACATAGTAAATGCGGGGTCGGGGGGAGAGCGGATATAGTGAATGCGGGGCCCGGGGAGAGCGGATATAGTGAATGCGGGGTCCGGGGAGAGCCGATATAGTGAATGCGGGGTCCGGGGAGAGCGGATATAGTGAATGCGGGGTCCGGGGAGAGCGGATATAGTGAATGCGGGGTCCGGGGAGATCAGATATAGTGAATGCGGGGTCCGGGGAGAGCGGATCTAGTGAATGCGGGGTCCGTGGAGAGCGGATATAGTGAATGCGGGGTCCGGGGAGACCGGATATAGTGAATGCGGGGGCCGGGGAGAGCGGATATAGTGAATGCGGGGTCCGTGGAGAGCGGATAGAGTGAATGTGGGGTCCGGGGAGAGCGGATCTAGTGAATGCGGGGTAGTGGAGAGCGGATATAGTGAATGCGGGGTCCGTGGAGAGCGGATATAGTGAATGCGGGGTCCAGGGAGAGCGGATATAGTGAATGCGGGGTCCGTGGAGAGCGGATATAGTGAATGCGGGGTCCAGGGGGGAGCAGATATAGTGAATGCGGGGTCCGGGGGGGAGCAGATATAGTGAATGCAGGGTCCAGGGTTTAGTAACACTCTAAAGCCCCAATTTGGAGGTGTGCTGGACTCAGTACCGGTTTCATTGTTCCCTGTTCTAGCTCTACTTTAAAACACAGAAATCCCAGATGGACCAAATGTAACACTCAGGGCCACCTATATGTAGCTATAGGCAGTACTCCTTTACCAGGCCCAGGCCCCATTGGGTCAGTGCCTCGAAATATAATGGCCTTTTAGTGTGTTATACAATGAGGTTAATAGGAGGGGCCCTGTAAGGTAGAATGCATGGGGCCCCAAAGATTTATAAAGACAGCCCTGGTGACTCTACAAGACTACATGGACACCTTGGGGAGGTTATTTACCAAAACTGGAGGGTGCAAAATCTGGTGCAGCTTTGCGCAGGAACCAATCAGCTTCCAGGTTTTATTGAACAAGCTGAAGGTAGAAGCTGATTGGCTGCCGTGCACAGCTGCACCAGAGTGTTCCAGTCTTTGCAAATCAACCCCATTATGTCTCAACATAGGTTCTCCAACTCAACTGTTTTGCCAGCAGGGCTTGATTTTCCATTAGGCATGTGTTGGTACTGTGTGTTGGGGCCCAGGAAAGGTTGGCGCTCCCCAAGGGAGGGAAAAACTCATAGCAATGAGATGCAGGCTTTCACAAAATGGCTGATAGGTGGAGCCCAGAACTGCAGACCCTTTAAGTTCTCTTTCTGGCTCTATACACAGTATCTATACACCACGTTCCATCCCGCCTCAAGGAAAGAAATGAGACACAGGTTTACCCAAAATGGGCATCAGGGGCCATGCTACAGAGCCACAAGGTGCTGGGATAGCGTGCTGTAGAGTGCAGGGTTAGTAGAAGCTCCTTGAACCTCAAGACCCTAGGATTGGCCTGCCCCAGGGGTGGGCAACTGTGGCCTTCCAGCTGTTGGTGAACTACAAGTCCCATCATGCCTCTGCCTTTGGGAGTCATGCTTGTAACTGTCAGTTTTGCAATGCCTCATGGGACTTGTAGTTCTACAACAGCTGGAGGGCCACAGTTGCCCACCCCTGGCCTGCCCTATACTCTCGAAAACTCTCCAGAAAGGTTGCAGGACACAGCGTACTCTTTACTCTCATGGGCGTTGGGCTGGGGCACTGGGTCCGTCAGGCGCATCTCGAACTCATTGCAGCGCAGTGGCACCTCCCGGTAATGGCTGATGAGGCCATATAGACTGTCGAATACCAGGTTGTCAGTCAGGTAGAACTTGGTGGTGCCGGCTTCCTGCCTGGAGTGAATGCGGCAATGCTGGACTCGGTTGGAACGCCTGTAGGAAGAGAGAGAGAGAGGGGGGATTCTTTATAATGAAAAAAAAAAGGAATTTCAGCCAAACCAGTTGTAGACACCGCAATAGTTCATGCACAATATAATGCTTACCTGCTTCTGTTCTAGACATACTAACACAGGCCATGCTAAGACACGGGTCCAAATATCGCCAAATCAGTACAATATTGGAGGGTCTGCTTCAGTCTACTAGGAAGTCCCTTCAGTAGAGAATACCCTTACCAAATCTAAAACTTTAGGGTATTGCCAGGGATGCCACCATCCGCGCAACATCATTGGGAACCAGTGAGCCATTACCAAGAGCAGGGATATAGGAATTTTGGGAACTCCTATAGGAGCCTTCTCACCACACTATGGAGACAGGTCTAATCTATTTGCTAGCTACAATTTTTTCTTCAAGACCTTCTTATGGGGTGTCCCCATATATCTCCCCCTCTGCATTCACCATTGACTCCCTGGGATCTTCATTTGGTTCTCTAAGCTCCTCAAAAACTGTCCTTTGAACCTACCAGATATTCTCCTGCCCACTTTCACCTACCTCATGTTTCTTGTTGCCATCACCTCTGTGAGGCAATTGTCTAGATGGCAGACCTATCCTGTATAGGACCATAACTGGTCTTACACAAGGACAAGGTGGTGTTCAGGCCAAGAACTTCCTTGCTGCCTACTGTATTTTCACCTCAGCCAGAACATCATTCTTCCATGAAAGGAATGACAAGAAGTGAATCAGTCTAATAGCCCCACGGCTTCCATTTGAAAGGAATGACAAGAAGTGAATCAGTCTAATGGCCCCTGCAGGTGGGAACCAGCTGCTCATTCCACCATTTCTAAGTTGCTCAGGCAGTCCAATATTTTAACTTATGATCTCACGGATTACGTTCCACACTTATTTGTCAAGGCGCACTCTGCTAGATGCATGAGGGGCTTTACAGCATCCAGCATCTGTTTCTCAAATTGGCAAGGCCACCACGTGGGCTTCTGTTTACACATTCTCCAAGTTCTACAGTCTGTCAACTTTTTCACCCTAGAAGAACCCTTCAAATAATTTTAAGGTCTCAGGGAACCCATAATTTATCAGGGGTCATTGGAATGAATGCCTCTTACATTGATGGTCAATGAAAAAAATGCCTCTTACAACAGTGGTCAGTGGGATGAATGTCCTCCTTACAGTGGAGGTCAAAATGCACCCTTGCGGACAGCTAAAAAAAAAATCTGACAAGTGGCATTGGACATGGAATTATACCAGCACCATTAGATGGAAGGTCAACAAGCCACAGCTCAAGGAACCCCTAACAACCTCTGGAGGATTATTACAGTTCCATGGAACCCTAGTTGAAAGTGGCTGTTCTACCAAGTGGATGTTAAGGCAGCATCTGGTGACAACTACCCAAAGGTCTTCCAGGCAGGATTCTTACGGTTCCATGGAACCCTGGATGAAAATGCCTGTTCTACCAGGTGGATGTTAAGGCTTCATCTAGTGACAACTACCCAAAGGTCTTCCAGGCAGGATTCTTACGTTTCCATGGAACCCTGGATGAAAATGGCTGTTCTACCAGGTGGATGTTAAGGCTTCATCTGGTGACAACTACCCAAAGATCTTCCAGGTAGGATTCTTACGTTTCCATGGAACCCTGGATGAAAATGGCTGTTCTGCCAGGTGGATGTTAAGGCTTCATCTGGTGACAACTACCCGAACGTCTTTCAGGTGGCTCCTGAAGCTGCAGGCAGGCCCCAGTTCTTTTGTTTTTTTGGTAAGCCTGCTGCCCACCCCTTACACTGTTTTTGGACATCCACATGGACAGACGTTAAAGAAAAGTGGAATTTTTGTACTAATCGTAAAATCCATTTTTTTTTCAATTCTTTTCATTGCTTTTCCAAACAGTGAAAAATTGCAGATATAAGTCACAAACCATGACAATAGTATACAGACAATACAATGCTCCAGCACCAGCAGCTAGGACGACAAGGATCTTATAAAACAAATAATTCATGTTTGTCACTATATGGTATAGACGTAGGATACATGATTCAAGACGTTACCAATCCACCATAGTTGGATAGTGATGCTACCATAAACAACTACCCCACTAATATACACCACCAGCCTGAACCATTGATACAAGGCAGGATGTATCCACCACACCATGACACCACCACCGCCAGCCTGAGCCGTTGATACAAGGCAGGATGGATCCACCACACCATGACACTACCACCACCAGCCTGAGCCGTTGATACAAGGCAGGATGGATCTACCACACCATGACACCACCACCAGCCTGAACCGTTGATACAAGGCAGGATGCATCCTCCACACCATGACACCACCACCACCAGCATGAACCACTGATACAAGGCAGGATGGATCCACCACACCATGACACCACCACCAGCATGAACTGTTGATACAAGGCAGGATGGATCCTCCACACCATGACACCACCACCACCAGCCTGAACCGTTGATACAAGGCAGCATGGATCCACCACACCCACACCACCACCAGCCTGAACCGTTGATACAAGGCAGCATGGATCCACCACACCATGACACCACCACCACCAGCCTGAACCAATGATACAAGACAGCATGGATCCACCACACCATGACACCACCACCACCAGCCTGAACCATTGATACAAGGCAGCACCACCACCAGCCTGAAACGCCTGAACCATTGCTACAAGGCAGGATGGATCCTCCACACCACACCATGACACACACCACCACCACCAGTCTGAAACGTTGATACAAGGCAGGATGGATCCTCCACACCATGACACCACCACCACCAGTCTGCTTCCATGTTGTTGTTTACACCAAACTCTGACCCTACCATCTGAATGTCACAGCTGAAATCCAGACTCATCAGACCAGGCAACATTCTTCCAATCTTCTATTGTCCAATTTTGGTGATCCTGTGTGAATTGTAGCCTCTGTTTCCTGTTCTTAGCTGACAGGAGTGGCACCCGGTGTGGTCTTCTGCTGCTGTAGCCCATCTGCTTCAAGGCTGGACGTGTTGTGCATTCAGAGATGGTATTCTGCATACCTTGGGTGTAAGAAGTGGTTATTGGAGTTACTGTTGCCTTTCTATCATCTGGAACCAGTCTGCCCATTCTCCTCTGACACCAACAAGGCATTTTCCTCCACACAACTGCCACTTACTGGATATTTTCTCTTTTTCGGACCATTCTCTGTAAACCCTAGAGATGATTGTGTGGGAAAATCCCAGGAGATCAGCAGATTTTGAAATACTCAGACTAGCCCGTCTGGCACCAACAACCATGCCAGGTTCAAAGTCACTTAAATCCCCTTCTTCCCCATTCTGATGCTCGTTTTGAACTTCAGCAAGTCGTCTTTGAAATGGAACCAACCCTGACTGCGCTTGGGTACTTCCGTTATAATACTGCATTTCCCAAACACCAAACACCGACAACAGACGCCACAGCCGACCATACAAGACTAGCAGACACCAGTCTTGAAGTAAACCAGGAGGTAGACTAGTTTATTTTAACACAGATACAAGATATATACACTCAGGGGAACAACCCCCCCTTCCTGCATAATGACACAGGGTGGGGCAATCTACATTTAGTAACAAGAAATACACCAACAGACAGTCCCACCAGGAGGGAGGGTTGCTGGAGACACCCCCCACTAAGCTAATACACATAAACACATACATCCCATAATAGTTTGTTCCCAAGCCAGACACACAATAGAATAATGGGATGCAACCACATGGCATTAAACAATCCACAACCCCCCACCCCAATATTAGGACAGATCACCCTGTACCCCTAACAGGCACAGGGTGACTTACACATAAGAGGGATATGGGGAGCTGAGACAGGGGTCTCCCCACCTCTCCAAAGTGAGCTGGGTTCCATGGGCACCCCACCCAAAGTGACTCCCGTCACAGTCTTCACCACGTCTAGATGCCTAAATTATTATTAATGCATTTATAAAGCGCCAATAGTTGGCTCGCTGTACATTACCAGAACATGTGACAGAACAATACAATACAATGCAAAACATGAGGGGATCGAGGGCCCTGATCTTTCGAGCTTACAATTAGGAGGGAGGGGATGGTGGCACAGGAGGAGAAAGCTGTGGGGGATGGAGTGGTAGGAAGAGTGGAGGAGGTTGGCGAGTTAGCAGGGGGTGGAGTAGGCTTCCCTGAAGAGGTGGGTTTTTAGGGTGCCCCTAAAGGAGAGGAAAGTAGGCAATATAAATGCATTGAGTCGCTGCCATGTGATTGGCTGATTAGCAATTTGTGTTACCGAACAATTGAACAGGTGGACTTAATAAAGCAGCCGGTGAGTGTAAAGCCAGTCAGACCATAGACCAACACAGAGCCCATTAAACAAACCCGAAAAATGCAACACCAACAACAACCTAATAATCTAGTCAGACACAGTGGACATAGCATGAACCCCCTCCCCCACCCCCGCCACCACCATAGCTGGTACCCCTCTGCTAGCATATGTGGCCTTGTAAAAGGGTAAGGCTTTATTAAACCCTTTCAAGGCCTCCAAGAAGGGTGGTGTGGGGTTTATTTTTTTTTTATCACAGAGAGAATAATACGCTTTCTAGCATAAAAAAATAACAAGGTAAGTGAAGTGCAAATTTGTGGGAGTGAGGGAGTCAACCCAACCCAGGAGGCAGATTTCAATCAAAGGTTGTATATGTATCGTTGTCACCGACTTAAAACTGTGCCCATCCTCAAGTCAATAGTGCTGGATGGCCGAGCAATCTAAAAAAACATGGATGAACTTGGCCTTGAGAGGAATTAGAGTGCCAACATCCCTAGTCTTGGGATGGAAAGACTTTTGTCCACCTAGGGGGGTTAGATATGTCCAATGCAAACATTTTCACTGTATGATACCTCCCATCCCGATCATCTCCATCCATAGTGGGAACATCGACCAGCCAGGCATTCCAGCAAGGTGCAAGAACTTTACTTGTATCAGAAAACACCAGTTTGCAAATGGTTGACAGCTCTATAGATAGAGGCTCATCCGGCAATAAATCCTCCAAATTCCCAACCATCCCAGAAGATCCAAATCAGGCAAAAAAAAAAATATGGCGGAACTGTAGGGTCCAGAAAAGAGGGAAATGTAAAATCCATTTCTCGGGAGTTCATTGAGGTCTCACTCCTCTTTGAAGCATCACAAAGTCCCTTTCCGGGTTCCGGGAATGTCCAGGCTTAGTGAGCAGGAGGTGTGGAACGCTTGTTGGCCATCTTGGGTTTACACAGGCCGCAAATACTGGTGCCGGGTTTTCAGGCCCGATACCGTGTGAGTGCAAGATGGTTTGTTTTTTTACATTTTCTGCTCATTTAATAAATACTGCAGTTAGAAGGTATTTTACTTGTATGGTTTATCTGAGTGGTCCGGCAATAGTCCTGCGTAAGGATAACCCGTACCGAACATCATATAAATATTGGAGGCACGTTGGGAGTCCCTATTCCACAGCATATGGCCAGAAGCGGAGAGCTGCTGGGGGGGAGATATCTCTTGAGAGGATGGTCTCCTAGATGACCAAAAAGCACATCTGACCGCCTTAATTGGGGTCAAAACCCACGTGGAAGAAAAATATACTTGAAATATATTTTTAAAATACTCTTCCCAAATATATTGACATATATTGGAAAGGCAAAAATTTTGGCCGTATTCAATAATAAAAAAAAAAAATTTTTTTTTTTTTTATATATATATATATATATATATATATATATATACACATATACATACATATACATACACACTGCATGTTGAAATGCATTTTTATTACAAAATATATGACAAATATATATCAAGATGAATTTTTTGTATGTTAAAAAATATCTGAAGAATATGTTTTTAAAAAATATATTTTTAAAATTATATATTTTTTAAATACATTCCTCAGATTTTTTTTAACATATGAAAAAGTCATTTTAACATATACTTTTACATATATTTGTAAAATTGCATTCCAAAAATTTAGATTTGTATTTTTAAAGACATACAGTATATTTGAAATGTATTTTTACATAATATTTCTCATATATTTTGTAATAAAAACACATTTCAACATAATATATATATATATATATATACGCACACACATACTGCATGTTGAAATGTGTTTTTATTACAGAATATCTGAAAAATATTATGTAAAAATACATTTCAAATATATTGTTCTTGCTCTGGGTACTGCTTTACCACAAAACCGTGGCATGCTGGGCGCACACGTGGTTATACCAGGCCGTGCCACGATTTTTTTTTTTTGTTTGCTATTGTCCAAATACTCCTGTAGGCGGCAGTCTCTGAGCTCCCGTGTTCCTTTATGAACTCCAAGAACTGACAACAAAGTACATCAAGTTCCAATTATAATTCGGCATCCGTTCCAAACCAGAGTTATACACAAAAAGCACCAAATCTGTTGATATCTGTCGATAACAAAGGATCGATAAAAAATCTGCCACCACCAACGGATATATGGCTGGGCAGTATCTGCGGAAATTGTCTTTTTATTGATCAGAACTTTCCTTCTCGGTGTCGGTGATATTCGTTTGATGGAACCACTTTTGACGATTGTTTGTCATTTGGAGTACAAATAACAAAAGTCTCAGGAAATGTAGACACGGGGGGGAGGGGGGGGGGGCTCCTGTCATGTATTGTAGATGGGGCTGATTTTCGGGGATCAATAAATTGAGAACCAGCCCCATTGGACAGTATGTGACAGAAGTCTACATGTCTACATTTCTTGATACTTTGTATCGTTTTTAGGTCTCACCAGAAGGACAGGGTGTAGTCCCCCACAAAGGTCTCGCTCTCCCGCACTAGGAAGGTCCCATCTTTTCCTCCGGTCTCGGTGCAGTACTCATGCAGCAACTTCTCAGCGATCTGCCGTCCGTCACGCCCTCCGCCCAGCTTCCCGTGGAACCATTTCTTGCTGAAGTGCAGCTCGTTATTATTTATCTCCTGCAGGGAAGAAAAAGAATCATTATCCAGTTGCCGACCGCAGATAGCCGAATGACGACTTCACTGCGGCCGGACAGTTCTGGGAGGGGCGTCTGGGGGCGCGCACCCGGCGATCTCCGTGATCACTCTGTCCTACGGACACAGCTGATCACGTGATGTGTTAAAAGCCTTTTACCACGTGATCTGCCATGTCCAATGACACGCTGATCACCGGGAAATGCAATTGCCGGTTCTCGGCTGCACTTTCCTCACTCTGTCAGAGCGCGAGGAAAGTACTGCTGAGAACCGGCAGTTGTCAGAGCGGGGATCGGCACCGATCATCAGGGCACTAATGATCAGTGCCCTGATGATCGGTGCCCAGCAGTGCCACCCACCAGTTCCGCCCACCTGTACCCAGCAGTGCCACCCACCAGTGCCTAGCAGTGCCACACACCTGTGCTCAGAAGTGCCACCTACCTGTGCCCATCAGTGCTGCCAGTCAGTGCCACCAGTCAGTGCCCCAGTGGTGGTTGTGCCAGTCAGTGCCCAGCAGTTGCGCCAGTCAATGCCTAGCAGTGCCAGTGCCCAGTAGTGATGCCAGTCAGTGCCACCTATCAGTGCCGCCTATCCGTGACACCTCATTAGTGCTGCCTATCAGTGCCCATCAGTGCTGCCTATCAGTGCCCATCAGTGCTGCCTATCAGTGCTGCCTATCAGTGCCAATCAGTGCTGCCTATCAGTGCCCATCAGTGCAGCCTCATCAACGCACATCAGTGAATGAGAAAAATTACCTGTTTGAAAAATTTTATAATAGAAACAAAGAAACTTTTTTTTTTTTAAAATTTTTTGCACTTTTTTTGCTTATAGCACAAAAAGTAAAGTGCCCAGCGGTGATTACATTACCTTACATTAGTGTCTCCATCAATGCACCCCCTTACATCTGGTTCCCTATCAAAGGTCCCCCTTTCATCAGGGTCCCTATCAAAGTCCCCTTTTACATCAGAGTCCACCCTTAAATCAGAGTCTGCCCTTACATCAGAGTCCCTATCATAATCCCCCCTTTGTAGATCAAACAGTAGGAGTAGGCGACATATCACTTTCCAGCTGCCTGTCAACAACCCACTATTCACCGCAGAGCGCTTTTCAGAGTCGTGGCAAAGACTGCAGCAAGTGTGAACGAGGCATTAGGGGGTACGGTCCCAATATCATGTTTGTGCTACGACTCAGATCCTTCACATCAATGTCCTCCGCTTCCCCTTCACCCTTCACATCACAGTCCCCCCCCCTTCTTACATTAATATCCTCAGTTCCCCCTTCCCATCATTGTCCCCCCAATTATACCACAGCCCCCCCTTTGCATTATTGTCCTCAATACCCCCTATTTATCACACCCTCCAGTCCTTCATATCACAGCCCCCTGACATTCGTTCACATGAGTGTTCATCCTTCACAAGTTCCCTCCCTTTTGTATCACAAACCCCCCTTGACATCACAGACCCCCATCACATCACAGACCCCCCCTTCACATCACAGACCCCCCCCTTCACATCACAGACCCCCATCACATCACAGACCCCCCCCTTCACATCACAGCTCCCCCCCATCACATCACAGACCCCCTTCACATCACAGACCCCCCATCACATCACAGACCCCCCTTCACATCACAGACCCCCCATCACATCACAGACCCCCCCCCCCCACAGACCCCCCTTCACATCACAGACCCCCCCTTCACATCACAGACCCCCCTTCACATCACAGACCCCCCCATCACATCACAGACCCCCCTTCACATCACAGACCCCCCCTTCACATCACAGACCCCCCTTCACAACACAGACCCCCCCTTCACATCACAGACCCCCCATCACATCACAGACCCCCCCTTCACATCACAGACCCCCCCTTCACATCACACACCCACACAGACCCCCCTTCACACCCCCACAAACCCCCCTTCACATCACAGACCCCCCATCACAGACCCCCATCACATCACAGCCCCCCCCCCTTCACATCACAGACCCCCCCCTTCACATCACAGACCCCCCTTCACCCCTTCACATCACAGACCCCCCCTATCACATCACAGACCCCCCCCTTCACATCATAGACCCCCCCTTTCACACCCCTGTTCATCACAGACCCCCCCCTTCACATCACAGACGCCCCCCCTTCACATCACAGACCCCCCTTTGCATCGTGTCCTCAGTCCCCCCCCGTTCACATCACAGACCCCCCGTTCACATCACAGACCCCCTCCTTCACATCACAGACCCCCCCCCCCTTCACATCACAGACGCCCCCCCCTTCACATCACAGACCCCCCTTTGCATCGTGTCCTCAGTCCCTCCCCCTTCACATCATAGGCCCCCGCCCCCCGCTTACATGAATATCCTTAGTTCCCTCCCTGTTACATCATGAGGCCTCCTCCCCCGACATCAGTGCCTGACCTGACAAATGTGCTTCTGGAAGAATGGTCCAACCTTCCCATAGACACCCTCCTAAACATTGTGGACGGCCTTCCCAGAAGAGCTGAAGCTGTTATAGCTGCAAAGGGCGGGGCCAACTCAATATTGAACCCTACGGACTAAGACTGGGGGCCATTAAAGGTCATGTGTGTGGAAAGGGCGGGGCCAACTCAATATTGAACCCCACGAACTAAGACTGGGGGGCCATTAAAGGTCATGTGTGTGGAAAGGGCGGGGCCAACTCAATATTGAACTCTATGGACTAAGACTGGGAGGGTCCATTAAAGGTCATGTGTGTGGAAAGGGCAGGGCCAACTCAATATTGAACCCTATGGACTAAGACTGGGAGACCATTAAAGGTCATGTGTGTGGAAAGGGCGGGGTCAACTCAATAGTGAACCCTACGGACTAAGACTGAGGGGTCATTAAAGGTCATGTGTGTGGAAAGGGCGGGGCCAACTCAATATTGAACCCTACGGACTAAGACTGGGGGGCCATTAAAGGTCATGTGTGTGGAAAGGGCGGGGCCAACTCAATATTGAACCCTACGGACTAAGACTGGGGGGCCATTAAAGGTCATGTGTGTGGAAAGGGCGGGGCCAACTCAATATTGAACCCTACGGACTAAGACTGGGAGGGGCCATTAAAGGTCATGTGTGTGGAAAGGGCGGGGCCAACTCAATATTGAACCCTATCGACTAAGACTGGGGGGCCATTAAAGGTCATGTGTGTGGGAAGGCCGGCGGCCCAATACTTGGGGCAATATAGTGTATATTAATTTAAGATGTGGAACCAACCAATCACTTCTATCCTCGAAGGAAACACGGATCAATCAACAAATTCTGCCTTCCTCTGGATCAGCTGTGGGTATAGGATTATAACTTTTTTTTTTTTTTTAATGGTTGAACTGGATGGACGTTTGTCTTTTTTTCAGCCAGACTAACTATGTAAATTAACATTAAAAAAAAATGTTGAAACCATCCAAGAAATATAGTATCAAATATGTACTCTAAAATATGGGGACTACTGTCTTCACAGATAGACTTGAAATGATAGTCACCAGGGGCGGACTGACCATTTGGGCAGTAGGGGGCCCCATGAGATGCCCCTGGTACCTTTCATAGGCTTTTTTGGGTGTGGTTTGAGTGTGGGTGAGAACACAGGGGCCCCATGATCCCCTATTGCCCGGGGGCCCCATGAGTTGTCAGTCCGCCCCTGATAGTCACCACCACATGTAGAGGTCTACCCATGGGGGGGTGGGTGGGGGATTTTGTTTTGTCTTCCTCCAGAGCAGGGGTCTCCAAACTATGATCCAGGAGCCACATTTGACCCACGAATAGATTTTATCCAGCCAGCCGCAATCCTGGTTGGCCGGCAATGGTGGAACCAAAGCAAAGGAACCTGTAGGCCTTCTAATCCAACCAAAAAGGTGTCCACAAAAAATCAGATTTTCCCCCAAAAACCCAATCTATAGAGTTGTGTTCAAAATACTAGCCGTCAGACATCACTAACCGGATCAATCACTGTTTTTGGTAGAGATGATAATTCTACATGGCAAATAATTTCCTAGCAGGTTTAGTAGAGTCATAGAAATCCAACAGACCCAACAGTCATGACATGCATGCTGCTGATTCTGTGTCATTGAATCACTCATTGAGGGTCGTGTTCAAAATAATAGCAGTGTGGAGTTCTATTAGTGAGGTCATTCATTCTTTGATAAACAGGTGGCAATGATTGCCCTTATTTAAGGAAGGAAGGCAGCAAATGTTGGACATGCTGGTTACAGTGCATTTCTCTCTGAAATTCTGAGGAAAATGGGTCGTTCCAGACATTGTTCAGAAGAACAGCGTACCTTGATTAAAAAGTTGATTGGAGGGGAAAACATATAAAGAAGTGCAGAAAATGATCGGCTGCTCAGCTAAAATGATGGCAAATGCTTTAAAATGGCCACCAAAACCTGAAAGACGCGGAAGAAAGCGAAAAACTACCATTGGAATGGATAGAAGAATAGCCAAAATGGGGCGGACTCAGCCAACAATCAGCTCCAGGAAGATGAAAGAAGGTGTGAAGTTCCCTGTGAGGACTGTTACAATTAGAAGACGCCGATGTGAAGCCAAGCTATCTGCAAGAAGTCCCCGCAAAGTCCCACTGTTGGGAAAAAGATGTGTGCTGAAGAGGTTACAATCTGCCAAAGAGCACATTGACCGGCCTAAAGAGAAATGGTGCAACATTTTGTGGACTGATGAAAGTAAGATGGTTCTTTTTGGGTCTAGTGGGCGGAGACAGTTTGTCAGACGACCCCCAAACACTGAATTCAAGCCACAGTACACTGTGAAGACCGTGAAGCATGGTGGTGCAAGCATCATGATATGGGGATGTTTCTCATACTACGGTGTTGGGCCTATTTATCGCATACCAGGGATCATGGATCAGTTTGAATCCATCAGAATACTTGAAGAGGTCATGCTGCCTTATGCTGAAGAGGAAATGCCCTTGAAATGGGGGTTCCAACAAGACAGCGACCCCAAACACACCAGTAAACGTGCAACATCTTGGTTCCAGACCAACAAGATGGACGTTATGGAGTGGCCAGCCCAATCCCGGATCTTCATCCAATAGAAAACTTGTGGGGTGACATCAAAAATGCCGTTTCTGAGGCCAAACCAAGAAATAGAGAAGAACTGTGGAATGTGGTCCAATCATCCTGGGCTGGAATACCTGATCACAGGGGCCAGAAGTTGGGGGACTCCATGCAACACAGATGTACAGCAGTTCTCAGAAACAGTGCGACTACAACCAAATATTCATGAAGTCATTCAAAGGAAAGCAAAATCTTCAAACATTTCTCAGTTTATATAGTGAATGTTTGAGTTTGTAAAGAAGAATACAAACACGGCCATTTTTTTGAACCGTCTAATATTCACTTTTCTTCCATTTTTTTTAGAGGAACAACACAAATTTGATGTATTTTTCTTCCTGTTGTGATTTGGAATAGAATGTGTCGTGTTCCCAATGCATTTGTGTGGATGGAAATAAAAGGATTAGAAGGATTTTCAGCTTTATTCACTTTTTTCATCACACTGCTATTATATTGAACACAACTGTACGTCTATCTCCTCCTGCGCTCTCACCTCTTTTGGCTCGGTCTCCTCCTCATCCTCATTGGACTGGTACGGGGACGTCTCCTCGGAGTAGTAGATCTTGTTGCTGGTCAGGACAAAGTAGTGCGGACTCCAAGTCTGCAGACATGAACAATAAGAAGCTTTTAGAAGGTTCAAAGAAAAAAAAAATGTCTGTAAAAATCAACGCAATATGGCAGCCTGGAGGATTGCGTACACAGTCAGTATGCGGAGCGCCCCCCCCCCCCCCCCCCCCGGGAATGTCCTTTCCTGCTTGTGTGATCGGTTCAGTGATTTTACCAGAAGTCTGCGCTAAGATCAAAGCCAGATTTTAGGTATCCCCTGTAATAGGAATGGCAGTTTTGGTAAGAGACTTCCTAAGGCTTCGCTAATTCTAAAGGGATGCAGACCCCGCCGCTTTTCTCATCGGAACACTGAGACTGCACCAGGTGATTGTAATGAACCCGACCCTCCCATTCAGAATCCGTCTGCACAGGACACGGGAAAACAAACAGCTATTTATTCACAGCAACAAAAGATAGAAATCTGCCATAAAGCTTGGTAAAATCTCTGTATATGGACCCCCTCCACGTAATGTACACGGACCCCCTCTACGTGATGTATACAGACCTCCTCCATGTGATATACACGGACCCCCCCTCCACGTGATGTATACGGACCCCCTCCACGTGATGTATACGGACCCCCTCCACGTGATGTGTACAGACATCCTCCATGTGATGTATACAGACCCCTCCACGTGATATATATGGACCCCCTCCACGTGATATATACGGACCCCCTCCACGTGATGTGTACAGACATCCTCCATGTGATGTATACGGACCCCTCCACGTGATATATACGGACCCCCTCCACGTGATATATACGGACCCCCTCCACGTGATGTGTACAGACATCCTCCATGTGATGTATACAGACCCCTCCACGTGATATATACGGACCCCCTCCATGTGATGCATACGGACCCCCCTCCACGTGATGTATACAGACCCTCCCCACATGTGATGTATACAGACCTCCCCCACATGTGATGTATACAGACCCTCTACATGTGATGTATACAGATCCCCTTCACGTGATGTATACAGACCTCCCCCACATATGATGTATATAGACCCCCACATGTGATGTATACAGACCTCCCCCACATGTAATGTATATAGACCCCCCACAACCGATGTATACAGACCCCTTACACGTGATGTATATAGACCCCCCCACATGTGATATATACAGACCCCTCCATGTGATGTATACAGACCCCCCACATGTGATGTATACAGACCCCCCACATGTGATGTATACAGACCCCCCACATGTGATGTATACAGACCCCTCCATATGATGTATACAGACCCCCACATGTGATGTATACAGACCCCCCACATGTGATGTATACAGACCCCTCCATGTGATGTATACAGATCCCCCACATGTGATGTATACAGATCCCCCACATGTGATGTATACAGACCCCCCACATGTGATGTATACAGATCCCACACATGTGATGTATACAGACCCCTCCACGTGATGTATACAGATCCCACACATGTGATGTATACAGACCCCTCCATGTGATATATACAGACCCCTCCATGTGATGTATACAGTATACAGACCCCTCCATGTGATGTATACAGACCCCCCACATGTGATGTATACAGACCCCCACATGTGATGTATACAGACCCCCCACATGTGATGTATACAGACCCCCCACATGTGATGTATACAGACCCCCCACATATGAACAAACATAGTGTATCATTCTATCCCCGGCACAGTACAATGCCTCCGCTGAGGGTCACATACGTGGTCGATGGGGTCCTCCAGGTACAGGATTCCATTCTTGATGGAGTTGCTGATGTCATTCTCGGAGTAGCTGGCTGTGGAGACTTCCTCATACAGATTCCCTTCCACCAACTTCTTGTGCTGAGAAAAGAGGAGGGAGATCAGATCCGATCCAAAGGAGAGCTCCACCCTAAATGCTCCACCATATCTGATCCCCCCCTAAATGAGCTCCACCCTAAATACTCCACCCTATATGATCTCCCCTAAATGGGCTCCACCCTAAATACTCCACCTTATCTGATCCCCCCTAAATGATCCCCCCCTAAATGAGCTCCACCCTATATGATCCCCCTTAAATAAGCTCTACCCTATATGATCCCCCCTAAATGAGTTCCACCCTAAATGCTCCACCTTATATGATCCCCCCTAAATGAGCTCCACCCTAAATACCCCACCCTATATGATCCCCCATAAATGAGCTCCACCTTATATGATCCTCCGTAAATGATCTCCACCCTAAATGCTCTACCTTATATGATCCCCCTCCCCCCTAAATGACCCCCCTAAATGAGCTCCACCTTATATGATCCCCCTCCCCCCTAAATGAGCTCCACCCTAAATGCTCCACCTTATCTGATCCCCCCTAAATGAGCTCCACCCTAAATACTCCACCCTATATGATCTCCCCTAAATAAGCTCCACCCTATATGATCCCCCTAAATGAGCTCCACCCTAAAAGCTCCACCTTCTATGATCCCCCCCTAAATGCTCCACATTATATGAACCCCCCTAAATGAGTTCCACCCTAAATGCTCCACTTTATATGATCCCCCTCCCCCCTAAATGAGCTCCACCCTAAATACTCCACCCTATATGATCCCCCCTAAATGAGCTCCACCTTATATGATCCCCCTCCCCCCTAAATGAGCTCCACCCTAAATACTCCACCCTATATGATCCCCTCTAAATGAGCTCCACCCTAAATGCTGTTCCATATTTCTGGTCCTAGTCCCAGTACAGATATTTCCTGGAGGGGGCGCTGTGTCTCGCTGCATCCACTAATGCTGCCGCTTACATTGGTGACAGAAGAATCAGAAGTCGATCCATCGACCCCCCCGCACTGGGGACCGATTTACCTTGATGAGAACCTTCCTCCTCAGCTGGTTGGGGGACGGCAGCTCATCGGCATTGATGTCCACCGGCTTGGTCAGCAGCATCTCCCCGAACACCTTCTTGAAGTAATAGGCCATATTCCTCTGCTGCATGACACTGCAGTGATCTTCTATGGACAGGATGACCGGGTACCTGGGAGGAGTTATACCAAGGGACATTAATAGTGTGAGGGGGAGGGGACATTAGAGTGTAAGCTCCTCTGGTGCAGAGACTGATGGGACTGTGGGGGAGGGGACATTAGAGTGTAAGCTCCTCTGGTACAGAGACTGATGTGACTGTGGGGGGAGGGGACATTAGAGTGTAAGCTCCTCTGGTACAGAGACTGATGTGACTGTGGGGGGAGGGGACATTAGAGTGTAAGCTCCTCTGGTACAGAGACTGATGTGACTGTGGGGGGAGGGGACATTAGAGTGTAAGCTCCTCTGGTACAGAGACTGATGGGACTGTGGGGGGAGGGGACATTAGAGTGTAAGCTCCTCTGGTACAGAGACTGATGTGACTGTGGGGGGAGGGGACATTAGAGTGTAAGCTCCTCTGGTACAGAGACTGATGTGACTGTGGGGGAGGGGACATTAGAGTGTAAGCTCCTCTGGTACAGAGACTGATGGGACTGTGGGGGGAGGGGACATTAGAGTGTAAGCTCCTCTGGTACAGAGACTGATGTGACTGTGGGGGGGGGGGAGGGGACATTAGAGTGTAAGCTCCTCTGGTGCAGAGACTGATGTGACTGTGGGGGAGGGGACATTAGAGTGTAAGCTCCTCTGGTCAGAGATACTGTACATGTACAGAGACGACGTCTCCTTACTCGGAGGTGATGAAGGCGTTCTCCTTGATAGTGTAGAGAACATCCAGGAATTTGATCTTCGAGGTCAGCGTGTGTCCATGGTAGATGATTGGCAGGTCATCTGGCCCATCCCAGCAATCCACTGTCCAATCAAGAGAGAGAAGAGAGTTACATTCCTCCCCCTGCCATCCATAAACCCGCCTGCGAGGGGAATCTGCGCTACAACAATATGGATCCAACCAGGGGCGGACTGACCATTTGGAAACTCAGGCACTGCCCGAGGGCCCGGGGTCAGTAGGGGGCCCCATGAGATGCCCCTGGTACCTTTTTCATAGACTTTTTTGAGTTTGGGCAAGGACACAGGGGCCCCATGATCCCCTATTGCCCGGGGGCCCCATGAGTTGTCAGTCCACCCCTGGATCCAACCATTGATGACCTTCTTTATAAAATTGCTAGTCGCCCGGAAGTTGCTCCAGAAGAACCAGTGACCGGGAACCACACCCTAATGGGCGAGATCAGAACTCCAGATGGACCTACTCCGGCACCATGTTCCAGGTCAGTGATTTGGAAGCCACCAAACCAATCAGGCAAAGAACATTTCCAAATGGAGGTCAGCAGTGGATTGACTAAAATTCTGTTCAACAAAAAGTCAGGTCCTTCTTAAAGACTTTAGTTCTAGGCGGAGTCTTGTAGGCCACGTCTTCCCTGGCCTCTGATATCTCCTGGCCTTCCACCGGAAAGACCTCCCTCCTATTGTGTCCACCTCTGCTCCTTTCCAGGATCGGACATTTGGGTGTTCCCATTCCTCCAGCCTCATTCTCTATGGAATGAACTAAAAATCCAACCGGAGGATTGCTGCAGCAAGAGAGCAGACGGGGAGAACTCAAGGAACCTGGATTTACCAAGATATCTCCCCAGAACAGCCATTTTGGGTGGAGTTATTTATTTAAAGGAGGAGCAGGGGCGGACTGACCATTTGGAAACTCGGACACTGCCTGAGGACCCGGGGTCAGTAGGGGGCCCCATGAGATGCCCCTGGTACCTTTTTCATAGGCTTTTTTGAGTTTGGGCAAGGACACAGGGGCCCCATGATCCCCTATTGTCCGGGGGCCTCATGAGTTGTCAGTCCACCCCTGAGGAGGAGTTTCATCTTTAGATAACGTCCAATGAGGTGTACAAGTTTTTTTTTTTCTAAATCAAATAATTTCTGATCTCCGGTTACTCACACTCGATGCAGCGACAGCCCAAGCGGAGACAGCGAGCGTACGCCTCGAGAGAGGATTCGCTGGAAAACTGGTCCCCGGTCAGGTACCTGCAGGGAAGGGGGCGGAGTTATGGGCACATGACACAGAGGAAATGCTCAGCAACAACGTTACCAAAATGAATCAATTTTAAATTCGTTAGAAGGTACAGGGGTGGGGAGTGAAAACAGCAGAAGGTCCGCCTACTTCCTGAACGTCTACATTTCATCTCCAAGAATTTCATTGGTTACAAAATAACAAGAATGTTGCAAGTGAACTTTAAAGTTTGTAAAGTCGCTGTGTGTGGTAATTCGACATCCTGCAGGGCAATTAGCATTTCTGAATGTTTTATGCAAATACTGACCTAGCATGAAAGTCAGTGACTGGCCACTCCCCCGAGGAGCTAAACTATACACCCTTCATGTGTAAAGGGTAGGAGAAGTCTCATCACATCGGAGAGACAGGATTGGAGCATGGTATTAGAATGGGTGGTCACATGACGTTGCTATAGAAACACAACTGCGTCGGTATCAGACTAAGTGGGGATGGGATCTGGGGGAACAGCACATAACCAGATAGACACCTGCAGTCTCTGATGGTGTAAAACACTCACAATGCTCCTACTAGCTAGGGCCCATGTGGTCTATGTCAGAACTTCAGTCACATGAGGAAGTTCCTTTTGATTGAAAATAATGATGAAAACCTATTTATTCAGAATGTTTTATGCAAATACTGGCCTAGCATGAAAGTCAGTGATTGGCCACTCCCCTGAGGAGCTAAACTATACACCCTTCATCTGTAAAGGGTAGGAAAAGCCTCATCACATCAGAGAGATAGGATTGGAGCATGGTATAAGAAGGGTGGTCACATGACGTTGCTATAGAAACACAACTGCGTCAGTATCAGACTAAGTGGGGGTGGGATCTGGGAGTAGACCAGCCTATAACTGATAGCTTGCTCCTGCCCCCACCCCCTCCCCCAGGTGAAATCTACAGCCTGCTTACAACCCATCACAGTTGCTTAAGCTGAACTCCAGGAGACCAGAATATCTGTAGATGTGGCAGGTGGAGTAGAACAGTCATTGTCAAGGTTTGGATCTTACGTGTTATGGGAGGAGGAGATCCAGTACTGGGACAGCGGGTAGTTCATCTCTTCCGGGATCACCACGTCACACGAGAGTCCACAATCCCATTTTCTTTGGAGAAGAGGTAAATCAGGAACTGAGGAGAGCAAAAGACATGAGTCACCACCAGGGGACATTGTACCCAACCAGAGAGACACGGGTCACCACCAGGGGACACTGTACCCAACCAGAGAGACATGGGTCACCACCAGGGGACACTGCACCCAACCAGAGAGACATGGGTCACCACCAGGGGACACTGTACCCAACTAGAGGACATAGTTCATCACCAGGGGACACTGTACCCAACTAGAGGACATGGTTCATCACCAGGGGGCAATGTACCCAACCAGAGGGCATGGTCACCACCAGGGGTCACTGCACCCAACTAGAGGATACGTTTATCACAAGGGGACAATGGTCACCTCCAAGGGACACTGCACCCTACCAGCAAGACACGTGTCACCACCAGGGGATGCCTACCCAAGCAGAGGACATGCTCACCACCAGGAGTCACTGCATCCAAGCAGAGGACATGGTCACCACCAGGGGGGCACTGCACCCAACCAGAGGACATGGTAACCACCAGGGGGCACTGCAACCAACCAGAGGACATGGTCACCACCAGGGGACACCATACTCAACCAGAGGACATGGTAAGCACCAGAAAATACCGTACTCAACCAGAGGACATGGTCACCACCAGGGGTCACTGCACCCAGACAGACATGGGTCACCACCAGGGGACATTCCACCCAACCAGAGGCCATGGATACTGCACCCAACCAGAAAGACAAGGGTCACCACCAGAAGGCACTGCACCCAACCAGAGAGACATGGGTCACCACCAGGGGGAACAGCACACAACCAGACACCTGCAGTCTCTGATGGCGTGAAACACTCACAATGTCCTACTAGCTAGGGCCCATGTGATCTCAGATGATGATGTCAGAACTTCATTCACACAAGGAAGTTCCTTTTGATTGAAAATAACAATGGCAACCTATTTTATGTTGCTCTGTGCCAATATTTTGATGACCAGTCCATTGTAAAGAGAGAGAAGCCCGATAGTCACGTGTGACCCGTTACATCTGGCACTCTCTTATCGTTCTCACACAACTGTCACCCCGCTACTGACAACTGCAGCTCCTTGTCACCTGGTTTGTTGGAACCACAAGCTCCTCCTTCCTTAAAGCTAACTAAAAACCAACCCTTCCAGAGTCTGGAATGTGTTAGACTATCAAACGGGTCCTTCCACAAGGGCGTTCTGGTTCTTTCACCAATTCAGCCACGTTTTTTCCAAGAAAAAAAAAAAGATCAGTTCACATCAATTTTTCGTCAGTTTACATTAATTTTTTATCAGTTTATGTCAGTTTTCCATCAATTTTTCATCCGTTTTCATGAATTTTTCATCAGTTTACATTAATTTTTCATACATTTTTCATTCGTTTTCATCAATTTTTCATCAGTTTACATCCGCTTTTCATCAGTTTACATCAAGTTTTCATCTGTTTACAGCAATTTTTCATCTGTTTATATCCATTTTTCATACATTTACATAAATTTTTTTATCAGTTTACATTAGTTTTTTCATCAGTTTACATCAATTTACATCAGTTTTTCATCAGTTTACATCAAATTTTCATCCGTTTTTATCAGTTTTCATCCATTTACATCAATTTTTCATCAGTTTACGTCAGTTTTTCATCAGTTTACATCCGCTTTTCATCAGTTTACATCCGCTTTTCATCAGTTTTTCATCTGTTTACATCCATTTTCATCCGTTTACATCCATTTGTCATCTGTTTACATCCATTTTCCATCAGTTTTCATCTGTTTTTCATCAGTTTACATCAATGTTTCATCTGTTTACATCCGTTTTTCATCCATTTTTCATCAGTTTACATAAATTTTTCATCAGTTTACATCAGTTTTTCATCAGTTTACATAAATTTTTCATCAGTTTACATCAGTTTTTCTTCTGTTTACATCCATTTTTCATCAGTTCACATCAATTTTTCATAAGTTTACATCAATGTTTCATCCTGTTTACGTCCGTTTTTCATCCATTTACATCCGTTTTTCATCAGTTTACATAAATTTATCATCAGTTTACATCAGTTTTTCATCAGTTTACATAAATGTATCATCTGTTTACATCCGTTTTTCATCAGTTTAAATCAGTTTTTCCATCCATCTACATCTGTTTTTCGTCTGTTTACATCGGTTTTTCATCCGTTTACATCCGTTTTTCATTAAAAAAAATAAGGTTTTCTTCCATTCAAAATAACAGATGTTAACAGATGCAGACAGTAATCATGATCATCCGTTTACATCCGCTAGTCCATAGAAATACATGAGTGTCCGTTTTTCTTCTGTAAACGGACATATGGAACGCCGTGTGAAAGGGTCCTTCGTGTGCAACACAGATGAGCGCAGAGCAGAATCTCTCACTGCCGGTCTGATTTGTGCTGGGCAGAGGCAGCCAATACAAAGAGGTGTCAGACTGGCGGCCCTCCAGCTGTTGTGAAACTACAAGTCCCATCACGCACACTCCGCTCCTCACAAGACCTCCTTCTCTCTAGTTCCCTGGTCTCCTCCTCCCATGCCCGCCTCCAGGACTTCTCCAGGGTGTCACCCATCCTCTGGAACTCCCTGCCCCAACCCATCAGATTATCACCTACTCTCCTCTCCTTTAGGCGCACCCTGAAAACCCATCTCTTCAGGGAAGCCTACCCCACCCCCTGCTAACCTGCTGACCTCCTCCACTCTTCCTACCACTCCATCCCCCACAGCTATCTCCTCCTGTGCCACCATCCCCTCCCTCCTAGATTGTAAGCTCCAAGGAGCAGGGCCCTCAATCCCCTCATGTTTTGCATTGTATTGGTATTGTTCTGTCACATGTTCTGTCCCCCTTTGTAATGTACAGCGCTGAGCGAACTATCGGCGCTTTATAAATACTGTATAATAATAATAATAATAATAATCATCTTTAGGAGTCATGCTTGCAACGGTCACTCTTGCAATGCCTCATGGGACTTGTAGTTTGGCAACAGCTGGAGGGCTGCCAGTTTGACACCCGTGTTACCAGCATCCCCGTAGAATACATTTATTCATACTATGCGTCTGAACCAATCAGTGTCCTTGTATCAGTCGGAGGCCGGCGTGCCGTATCTCACCTCGTCCAGTTGCAGCACCAACTCGGACATCTCGCTGTCTGTGTCTCGGAGATAACTGCATAGATAATCTCTCACTTTACCAAGGTCACTTGCCCAGGCTTCCTGCGACAGAGAAAGAGACAGAGAGAATAGAATAGAAAAGAAATGAATAGAATAAAAAAAATAAACGAATAGAATTAAACAGAAAAAAATAGAATAGATTAGAATAGAATAAAGTGTGTTTATACAGATAAAAAACCTCCTCTAGAAGCCCACTAGTTCTGGGTTTTGATTCCAGTCTGTGTGTGTATGGACACATAGGAGAACATGCTGGGGGGTTTACTGACTGCAGAAAAAAAAACCTCAAACGCCAAAAACAGCCGCTGTAAAAACATCCCGTGTGCATGAGGACTAATGCAGGCCATAGATGGGTCGAAAACTGGCCATTTAAAAAAAAAAACAAAAAAAACAAAAAATCGGTCATTCAATAGGCCGACGTTACCACCAGCGGTAAAAAAAATATTGGCCGATTTTCGTCCCGTCTACGGCCGCCATTTAATTACTTCTGTCCTGCAGAGAGCTCCGCTATTATATTTTACATGAAAAGTCTTGCGGTTGCAACAATGTATCCATTTGTATCCATTTCGTATACAGATGTTTTATTCGGATACAAATAGATACATTGTTGCAACCGCAAGACTTTTCAAAATAAAATATAATAGCGGGCTGGAAATCTTCTTTTTCTTCTTCTTTTTCTTCTTGCAGGTCACGGCTCATGCGTAGCTTTTTTATCGGTAAAACTATCGGCCGATTTGCCCATCATTGCTAGGAAAATCGGGCGATCGGCAAAATCGGCTGATTTTTTTCCAACTTTACCGATAAAAAAATGTGCCAAAACCCCAAAAAACGGCCGACCAACACTTTTCCATTCTATCCAAAACTCTAAATTGGAATTACACTTTACATCCTGATGTATCCCATGAACCTTCCAACCCCCAACCCCAACCCGCCCCACGCACCTTCTGATCATACTGGAGGAAGCGCTGGAAATCGTAGAGAGTGAGATTTGACACAGAGACGGCCGGTCCACGTTCCCTGCCACCAAACACAAAGGAGATGTTACTGGATGTAAAAAATATAATAAACCCCAAATCTCAAAACCTGTGTTGGGTTGTACAACCTATCACCGATAATGGAAGCCTCACTTTACTACTGTTGAAAACATCAGGAAGACCGCACAGCACAGTGCTCAACCAAGCCTTGCTGGACATTTCGTTTCAAAGGAACCTGTGGGAAGAATCTCCCTTACATTGGTGGTCAGGGAAGAATGTCCCTTACATTGGTGGTCAGTGGGAAGAATCTCCCTTACATTGGTGGTCCGTGGGAAGAATGTCCCTTACATTGGTGGTCAGTGGGAAGAATGTCCCTTACATTGGGGGTCAGTGGGAAGAATGTCCCTTACATTGGGGGTCAGTGGGAAGAATGTCCCTTACATTGGTGGTCAGTGGGAAGAATGTCCCTTACATTGGGGGTCAGTGGGAAGAATGTCCCTTACATTGGGGGTCAGTGGGAAGAATGTCCCTTACATTGGTGATCAGTAGGAAGATGGTCCCTTACATTGGTGGTCAGTGGAAAGAATGTCCCTTACATTGGGGGTCAGTGGGAAGAATGTCCCTTACATTGGTGATCAGTGGGAAGAATGTCCCTTACATTGGGGGTCAGTGGGAAGAATGTCCGTTACATTGGTGGTCAGTGGGAAGAATGTCCCCTACATTGGTGGTCAGTGGGAAGAATGTCCCTTACATTGGTGATCAGTGGGAAGAATGTCCCTTACATTGGGGATCAGTGGGAAGAATGTCCCTTACATTGGGGATCAGTGGGAAGAATGTCCCTTACATTGGTGGTCAGTGGGAAGAATGTCCCTTACATTGGGGGTCAGTGGGAAGAATGTCCCTTACATTGGTGGTCAGTGAGAAGAATGTCCCTTACATTGGGGGTCAGTGGGAAGAATGTCCCTTACATTGGTGGTCAGTGGGAAGAATGTCCCTTACATTTTTGTGGTCAGTGGGAAGAATGTCCCTTACATTGGGGGTCAGTGGGAAGAATGTCCCTTACATTGGTGATCAGTGGTAAGAATGTCCCTTACATTGGGGGTCAGTGGGAAGAATATGTCCCTTACATTGGTGATCAGTGGGAAGAATGTCCCTTACATTGGGGATCAGTGGGAAGAATGTCCCTTACATTGGTGGTCAGTGGGAAGAATGTCCCTTACATTGGGGGTCAGTGGGAAGAATGTCCCTTACATTGGGGGTCAGTGGAGAGAATGTCCCTTACATTGGAGGGTCAGTGGGAAGAATGTCCCTTACATTGGGGGTCAGTGGGAAGAATGTCCCTTACATTGGGGGTCAGTGGGAAGAATGTCCCTTACATTGGGGGTCAGTGGGAAGAATGTCCCTTACATTGGTGATCAGTGGGAAGATTGTCCCTTACATTGTGGGTCAGTGGGAAGAATGTCCCTTACATTGGTGATCAGTGGGAAGAATGTCCCTTACATTGGGGGTCAGTGGGAAGAATGCTCCTTACATTGGTAGTCAGTGGGAAGAATGTCCTTACATTGGTGATCAGTGGGAAGAATGTCCCTTACATTGGGGGTCAGTGGGAAGAATGTCCTTACATTGGTGATCAGTGGGAAGAATGTCCCTTACATTGGTGGTCCGTGGGAAGAATGCTCCAAACATTGGTGATCAGTGGGAAGAATGCCCCTTACATTGGTGTTCAGTGGGAAGATTGTCCCTTACATTGGGGGTCCAGTGGGAAGAATGTCCCTTACATTGGTGGTCAGTGGGAAGAATGTCCCTTACATTGGGGGTCAGTGGGAAGAATGCTCCTTACATTGGTGGTCAGTGGGAAGAATGTCCCTTACATTGGTGATCAGTAGGAAGATGGTCCCTTACATTGGTGGTCAGTGGAAAGAATGTCCCTTACATTGGGGGTCAGTGGGAAGAATGTTCCTTACATTGGTGATCAGTGGGAAGAATGTCCCTTACATTGGTGATCAGTAGGAAGATGGTCCCTTACATTGGTGGTCAGTGGAAAGAATGTCCCTTACATTGGGGGTCAGTGGGAAGAATGTCCCTTACATTGGTGATCAGTAGGAAGATGGTCCCTTACATTGGTGGTCAGTGGAAAGAATGTCCCTTACATTGGGGGTCAGTGGGAAGAATGTCCCTTACATTGGTGATCAGTGGGAAGAATGTCCCTTACATTGGGGGTCAGGGGGGAAGAATGTCCCTTACATTGGGGGTCAGTGGGAGAAGGAGGAGGACACACTGAAGGAGCTCTCCCTGAGAACCAGCATTTTCAAGCCTGGGCCTTGCCTGCTAGCTTGGCCCAGGAACCATGCCTGATCCAGGGGGAGGCCCTGGGAGGGATTCCCTGATGAGACCGGCCTAGTGAAGAGGAGGAGGTGGAGGACCTGACTGTGGGTCCCAGCCCTGGTGAGGATGTCGATGTCTTCAGACAGAAGATTGTTGATAGATTTGTGACTATTGGAAGAGCTGAGGAGAAACTCAATGTTTTGAAATCTAAACACAAAACCTTCAGAGCCCAAATACTGCCAGGCCTGGAGCAAGAACAGATTGGGCATGAAGCCAGCGCTCCAGCACATGGAGGATAAAGTAAAGAAACAATCTTTATTATTAGAAAAGTTGAAAGCCAGAAGTGGAGCATTTAAAGAAAAATTTGAACATGAGAGGAGATTTGCCAGTCAGACATCAGTGAGCTCTGTGGATCAGCAGCCTCAGGTAATGGATGACCCAGTTCCATCTACATCAGCGTCTCTCCCCCCATGTCAGGCTGTGGAATCACCAGTGGCAACCAGCCAGGGGGTTGAGGGTGAGTATGGAACCCTGAAGTTCATTCAGCACATGGAGTCTCCCTGAGAGCAGACAAGTTTGCCTTCACTGATGACCCTGCAGAAGTCCCTGAAGATGGACAGAGGAGGTTCAGAGCAGCAAAGCCAAGACTGGTGGAGAGATCCCAGTATACCAAGATGGCTGCTCCCAGCATGTCTGCCCCACCTGCTGTGGTCAGTACTGTGGATGAGGAGCTCTGCAAGCAGCCTGCTGTGGAGGAATCCTCATCAAACCTGGAGGAAAAATCCCTGGCAGAGAGGTCTCCAGACCATCAGGGGAATGTGGATGAACCTGCACCAAGCACCCCACAGATGGAAATTGCTGTTCCTGCTGAGACCAGTAGTCCCTCTACAGGCAAGATGGCTGCCACCTGCAGAGAGACTGTTTCACCTGAGCTCCCAGGTGCTCCAGAGCTGATTGATGCTGGTGGGGGAGGGGAGCAGCACACTGCACCATGTGGAGAGCAAACAGCAAGTATGGATGTCTCACTTGTTGCTGTGTCTGAGAATCCAATCCAGTCCTGGGCTGAGTCTCCTTTCTTGGAAGGAGAGATGATTGATGGAGCTTCTATGGTTGCAGCAGTGAGTGTGCGGACATTTCTGAGAACTCTATGACTGTTGAGACTGCTAAAGCAATGGATGTGTTGGTGGTGGGTGGAGGTGAAGGGGTTAACATTGCTGACAGAGGTAAAAATGAAATTTCTCCCCCTGCTGAGCAGAAAGAGGATACACCATCCAATCCCGGATCTGTGCAATCGGTGTCTGCTAGAGTTGCACCAGACGCTCCCAGACACACAAATGTTTCTGCTGCTGGGAGGATTGGGGGAGCTATGCCTCTGTTTTTGGGGAGTCGCACCAAGGGGGTGGGGGGTAGTGTTGGGAATACTAATGGTCACAATTTTGGGAGGTTTGGTGGTGGGATGGTTGGTGGGGTCAGGAGAAGGAATGTGGTACAGTTGAAGTGGGAGGGGGAAGGGAACCCACCAGTAAGGGGGAGGGTGGCGGAGTTGATTCTGGAGATGGGGTTTAAAGCCTGTGATGTGTTTGCGTTGATCTGCCCAGTAGGCAGCTATGAATATGATTTGTCATTTGTAAAACCTGAAGGCCTGGACCTGTTTTGGGAGAGATATTGGAGGTGCAGGAGCCTTCAGCAGTGGAGAGGTTTGGTGGCAAAGGTGGTTTCCAGACAGCCTTTGATAAAATCGGTGACAATCCTGGTCCGGAATGAATCCATACCTGAGGCTGATTTAGTAGTTTGGCTACGCCGACATGGTGAGGTCCTCACCCCACTGCGGAAGGTCCTGGATGAGCATAGGATATGGACAGGGGCCTGGACAGTGTCAGTGCAATTGAGGGTGCTGGGCAATGTGGTTCAGCATCTTCCCTGCTCAGCCTTTCTGGGGAGAGGATAGGCTGACCATTTTCTATCAAGGTCAGCCTAAAGTTTGTAACAAATGCGGAGAGAAAGGCCATTTTGCATCATCCTGCACCATCAAGAAGTGCTCACTGTGCCAGGATTTTGGCCATTTGGCCAAAGAATGCACCGAGATTCGGTGTAATTTGTGCCAGCAGCTGGGTCATCCATACAGTCTGTGCCCAGAGGCACTACACAACCTGCCAGGACTGGAGGCTGAGCTGCAGAGGCTGGATAAAGAGGATGAGGCAGCTGATGCTAGGGAGGAAACTGTTGTTGCCCCTCCTGTGTCTGGTGTGTCAGATTGTGTTTCCCCCAGTAATGTCACCCCTGAGTCTGTCCCTCCTGTCCCTAATCCTACAGTACGTAGATCCTCCAGACTGGCGGAAGCTGCTGGGGGGGGGGTGTAGCTGATCTTCCCTCTCGGCCTACTCCACCTCCGGTACCTGTCCCCCGACAGCGCAAACGTGGTCAGGAGGTTGTGGGGGTGCCGGATGGGGGTGAAGCCGATGGGGCTCAGGGAGGGTATCCATGTCCCATGTCTCACCTCCTGCTGGGGGGGATTCGGCTGATGAAGGGTGGGAGAGGGTGAAGGAGAAGAGGAAGAAGAAGAAGAGGAGGATGAGAAGAGCTGTCCTCTCTTCCTCAGAATCAGACCCAGGAGGGGTCCCTCTTGGCAATACTTTTTCAGTTTTGTCAGGTGATGAGATGGTATCTGATATATCCATTTCTCTATCATCTATGGATGAGGGGGAGTCACATACTCTGAAGAGAGCTGTTTCGGGTGATGAGAGTGTGGTAGAGGTTAAGAAACAACTACCCCAATCATCCTGATGGCAGTTCCCACTCTGT